GGTGTTTAAATTTACTTTCTAAAATAGTTTTTTTTAAATATTTCGAACAATATTTGATTTATAACAGTGAAAATTGGTATACAAGGGTTTTTTGCTACGACAAAACGAACCATGGGCATAGTTTTACTGTAGCCGCTAGAGGGCGCTCTCTACTGTACCTGTAGTGTATTAAAATGACCGAAAAAATTTTCTTAGTGTAGTGAATGCACGAAATTTAGTTTCTTTTACCTGTTTTTTTGTAAGTTTTATAAAAATGCCATTTTTATTCTCCAGAGAATACGCACGAAGATTTCCCAACAGACGACATCCAACTCGTAAGAGTACATCGCCAAATAATTGAAAATGGTTTTGGAAATCTCCGAAGTGATCAAAACATAAATGTTCGTCAGCGCAGATTTACCCGTATGATTCTGCGTGAGTTTGATAGAGATCCGACCACAAGTGTTAGGAGAGTTTCTGGTGCCTTGGGAATTTCAGCAAGCCATGTTCACCGTGTTCTTAGAAATGACTATAGGCGTCCTTACCATTTGCAACCTGTGGAATTTTTAAAGGCTGTACATGCAAATATGTGGGATGATGTTATGTTAGATTTAAGAAGATTGGCCTGGTTCCAGCTTGATGGTTGTCCAGCTCATTATTCGAGAATAGTTAGAAACTGGCTGGACGAAAATTATCCAGAAAGATGGATCGGCCGTGGAGGACCAGTCGCCTGGCCTCCACGATCCCCTGACCTAAATCCATCAGATTTCTTTGTGTGGAGATTTCTAAAAGAAAAAGTGTACCAGACTCCCGTAACCACAAGAGATATGCTAATAGATAGAATCAGGAATGCATGTGATGAAATAAGGCCTTATTTGAATAATGCTATAACACGTTCGATCATTCGTAGATGTGAATTGTGTATTGAACAATTGGGTTTACATTTCGAGCAACTACTTTAGATTTTGTATGTTTGTCCTAACTATCCAATAGCATTTTAGTTGTAAATAATTAATTTAATTTGTTAAAAATAATATTGGAAATTTAAACAAATGAATATTGTTTTTTTGTGTTTATTTGGAGTTAGGAATTATTGCTGTGTTTAAAAACATAATCTAAACTATCATCTTAATTACTTGTAATGCCCAAATCGAAAATGTAAAAAAAATATTATTTTCCCATGAATAATTAAAAATGCATCGAACCTTAAAAATCGAAATATCTCAAAAACGGCTAACTATAGCGAAAACTCACTGGAGAGCTTTTTTATGCAGAAAAGTGCGGAGAATCAGTATTTTTATTCAAAAAGCAAACAATTGTACTAAGAAAAAATTTTAATACACTACAGGTACAGTAGAGAGCGCCCTCAAGCGGCTAAGTAAAACTATGCCCATGGTTCGTTTTGTCGTACCAAAAAACCCTTGTATACCAATTTTCACTGTTATACATCAAATATTGTTAGAAATATGTACTTAAAAAAAAAAGTATTTTAGAAAGTAAATTTAAACACCCTGTATTTCGGAAGCCACGCATTTTTCGACATGTTTATATAGACTTTATGCATTAATTTTAAAGGATCTATCGAATATTAAAGTTATGCAACAATAAACTGAAACACCCTGTATATTTAATTTTTGAAAATTGCGTGAACTTAAGAAATCTTGTTTTCCAAACAAAAAAGGTTCTTTGTTATGAGATACGTGAATGCGTGGTAACCAATAATGCCGTTTATTTGACAATATTTGTGTAACTTCTAGTGCTGATTCACGGCTGCTGCTGTCAGGATGAGTAAAAGGAAACAATACCATCGACTGGTTCCTTTCTAAACAAAACAAACTGTCTGATCCACCGTCACAAGAATTACCGGAAAAAAATGATAATCCTACAATTCAACCTGAGCCTTCCACTTCAAAATTTCTTGATGTTGGACCGTATGCTGAACCAAGTGTTGAACAATCGGGTGAGAAACCTAAAGGATCCAATTTTGTTGATGTTACGCCATATGTAAATTTCAGCGGCAACTTGTCTTCCCATGAAAAATATACCTTATTGAGGCGTGCAATGATCCCTAATGACTCTTTCAAATATCCCTATTCCACACTCTTAAAAAATAATAAAGAAGTGAAATGTTACTTATCAAAAAAAGTCTTTGAGAAATTTCCTTGGCTGTCATATTCAGAGGAACTACAACTAAAGTGGGAAAACTTGTTACCGTACCACTAAAGAAATTTTCGAAATTGTATGACAAAACCGGTGATTGTGAGACACATGAGAACTCAATATATCATACAGAAGCAGTTTCAGATACTACAAACTTTTTAAAGATTTATGAAAATCCAGAGAATGATATAAGAAATATAATAGGTTCAGGGTTCAGAGCGAATTAAGCAAGTATCAGAAAATCGGCAAAGATTGACTCCTATAATAGAATCTATAATTTTTTTAGGACGCCAAAATATAACACATAGGGGACGACTTTTTTCTAATTACAGCACGAATGACGAGGATGACCTTAATAATGAAGGGAATTTTAGAGAACTAATACGGTTTAGAGTCGAGAGCGGCGACAATTTATTGAAAAAAAACTTAGAGAACTCAAAAGCGCATGCTACTTACATAAGCAGCCGCATCCAAAATGAAATTATAGAATGTTGTGACGAAGAAATCTTGGATATAGTTTTAAGTCGCTTCAGGCAAAGTCAGTATTACAGCATTATATTTGACGAAACTACAAACATTAGCCATAAATCACAAATGCCAATCGTATTGCGGTATTGTTATCAAAAACATATTTACGAGGACGTCATGGGATTTGGGGATTGCTACTGAAATCTTTGAATATATACAATTTTAATATTTTCTTTGCATCAGTATTTAATTCAGAAACTGAAGCTGAAGTAATGGACATATTAGAAACAATCTCTAAATATTTGCACGGACTAAATAGTAACGAAAACAAAAATTTAATAAGTACCAGATTAAAAGCAGAATTTGACCTTTGGAAGTCACGCACACAAGATATTATAGACAGTGGAATGTCACTGTATTTATCATGTGATGAAAACATTTTTCCTTCAATTAATAGATGCCTACAATTATTGATTTCATTGCCGGTAAGTGTTGCGACATCTGAAAGAAGTTTCTCCCATCTAAATAGGATAAAAACTTGGCTGCGCTCCACTAAGTTACAAGAGCGATTAGTGGGTTTAGCTCTTTTATATATGCATAGGGATATTAAAATAGAAGTGAATAGAATCATAGATCGGTTCGCCAGCAAAAAGAATACGCGCCTTGATTTTGTAATACGATAACACCTGAACTTTGCCTAAGGTTGTCTCTCAAATCCATCTCCCTTCTGTTGGCCAATCAATAAAAAAGCAGATGTAGTTAAGGATAAACTTACGTTTAAACCACCACGGTGATCTTTTCCAAAGTATCCAATCAAGATATGTGGTTTTATTTATTGGCCCGCAGACTGATATAAAAGTCTGTTGAAATTCTGTTCAAATTACTTTCTAAGCTAATGTAATGATTGTTTTATTTTGAGACTGTGAACTGATGTAGTTTCATAGTTTATATGTTTTTGTTTTTTGAGACTGGTTAAGAGAATGTAGTTATACTTTATAGAAGTCGTAATATATTTGTTATTGTTATTTTTTTCATGAAGTTGCATTTTTTGTTGTTTTGTCTGACATTGTTATGTAGAAAGACTGTGATGGATTATATTATTTTGCATTTCTGTTTTGCTTGGTTTGCTTTATTTACACTTTGATTTCGTATGATTCAAAATTTAAAAAAATTGTATGAATTTTCTACAGAACTTACTCTAACAAATTAATATGTCTGCATATGTCCATGCTTTTAATGTTAAATCATTATAACACTTCAGTACGTCACACCGAGAATTTAATTTTCATTTTACCCCTCCCAGACTGAAATCCTGGGAGCGCCACTGTGGGAACCTAACGAGTAATAATAGTTTTTACACACACATAGTGAGATGTTAGCCATTATGATGATTATATATGTTCTTAATATTGCAAAATATTGGGCAGAGATTCAGGAAATTGTTAGTTGGACTGTCTTATGACAATATTGCCTCTTGATGATTATTGAGACCACTTCATTTCGAAGACACATAGAAAATCTTTTTTCTGTGCCAAGTTTCAGTCTCCAAGGGCTGTCCAATGCTTTAACATACCCCCAGGGCCATTTCTCATTGGGTTACATTATTGTTACAACCACAAATTTCATTTAGGTTTCTCCCGAAACATAATTATGGAAATTGTTGAATAGGTCAAGTTGTGTTCGAAAAACATAGTTGGTACCTTGCATTCCAGCTGAAGGTAAAAGGTCTTGTGGATTAATAAGTTTCACAAGTGATATAGCTAATATATAAAATTTTATTTTTAGAATTTTTGTTTCGTGGATTTGTTTACACTATAGCAGCGTCGTAATACTTTATTAATTGGATGCTTAAAAAACAGTCGGATTTTCGGAAAAGGGATATTTTTGATTGAGGAATATTTTCACTTCTAAGACTTAGTACATAAATAAGGAAAACGGTAGGATTCTGAAACCCGAAATCCTTAAATGTCATGAAGGGCGGATGAATAGCATTCACCAAATCTCACCAAATACTTCACCTATTAACAGGCAGATTACAGAAATGCAGAACTTGGTGAAATTCAAACAATATTTGGCCTCAAAATTGTAACTGTTGACGTTATTGGATTACCATTTGAGATATTTCTAAGGTAAACTATGTGATTGAAAACACGATTCAAGCCCTCAAGGACAGAGAACTCCATTGTCTTATTAAAATTGAATCGGTGAGTTCAAACACAGTACAAGTCCAACAAATGGCGTATTGAGTTGACATAGCCAAATCGTTTGAAATTTGAAGACTCATGTGTTGTGCTTGAAAACATTAAAACATTCAAGAATAGAATAGAATGGTTAGTTAGGTTATCTCACTAATGTCAAAATTCCGATTCAAATACATAGTTGAAAGCAGTCGATTTAGAGAGCAACAATGGATATTTGTAACGACAGTGCCGAGGGTTTGCATGGGAGTAAAAAGCGACAAAGGAATCCGAAAGTTTGGAAAGACAATGAAAGGAAAACTGCTGCTCTTAAAGGTGAAGAATATGTTTCTACATCCGGAAAAAGGTTTGCACCAAAAACATCTGGTTCTCCATGTTGGTAAGTTTTATTATCGATACTAAAAAACACCGAGGTATACCTTGCGTATTTTAAAGGTGTAAGCAGAATTGCACCAAGAAGTTTACCAATGAAGAAAAAACCGTCTGAATTTCGAAACTATACGACTGTAAACCCAATAATGAACGTGACAAATTCCTTCAAGGCCTAATTGAAGTAAAACCAATGAACTGTCAACACTGATGGAACAGGCGTAACGCGTATTCATTGCGGCTAGAATGAGAAATGAGAAGGATAGCGCTAGTCAGGGCAAAACATCGTGGTCCATTGTGGTATTTCCATATATGTTCTAAGGATTTTTGGTGAATGTTTGTTATTAGTGACGTTAAAGATTAATAGTGATAGTTTGCGACAATTATTATAAACATTTTTATGCCGGACATATACGTTCTTTTCAATATGCAGAAGCCACTGCAACATATTGCAGAAATATAAATGATATATTTGATCTGTTAAATGTAAGAAACTTGTTTGGCTCCACCCAGTTCAAAAAACCTTTGTATAGGGGTAATGAGGAATTTCTAACAAATTTTGTAAATCGTTCTATTAGATATTTAAGCACACTAACAACCTATGAAGGTGTTAATATATTAGAAACCAGTAGAAAAACAGGTTTTTTGGGCTTCATAATTTGTTTAGTTAGTGTGAAAAACTTATTCGAGGATTTGGTGAAAGGTGAAGTATTAAATTTTTATTGACCTATAAATTAACCCAGGATCATTTGGAAATGTCTTTTGCAGCAATACGCAGTCGAGGAGGATTTTCAAATAATCCAACAGCTTGGAATTTTGAACAAGCGTATAAGAGATTATTAATTCACAGCGAAATCGCTTCGTCTGAAAGTGCAAATTGCCTTGCTATGGATCATACATCTACTTTAAATGTCTCCTCCAGAAAAATGAAAAACCCTTGCTTTGATCTTTTGTATGAATTTGAGGAAGTTTTTCCCCTAATTTGCAGGAGCAGTATATTGTCAATCACCACAAAATTTTAAATTGTGTATATGTTTGTGATGTAGTTAAATATATAGCAGGTTTTGTTAGCAAAACAATTGTTCAAACCTTGAATTGTAATGAATGTGCCCGATCAGTGACAACATCTGATTCTGATTGCATGCTGCTGAATCGGAAAAATAGAGCAGGTTTAATCAAGCCTACAAAAGATGTAAAAATTTGTATGGTTGCAGAAGGTATAATAAAAACTGAAACAAACTTTTCTCATCCTAATATAATCTTAAGATTGGTCTCTGCTGCAATGAGAAATTTAAATTTGAACGAGGTTTTTTATGTTTATCTGAGCACTCTCGAGAGCAAGACCCACTTGATGGACTTATTATTCAATTGGCCAGACTTATCATGAAAAATTATTTCACTATTCGGCTTCACCACATAAATTCCACAAAAAATCAAATAACAGATTGAATTAGGCAAAGGTTAACAAAAACGATTCATTTTAAAAATCAGTAAATCGGCAATTTTTAGATTAGGTATAAACATATAAATTCACAGATGAACCCACTACTCATTAATAATCTTTTAAAATTTTTTTATCAGGGACGTAATTTCTAGAATGAACTATGGTATAACCTATATTGTATCATAATGAAAAACTGTGCATCTACAGTATTGTTAATGCCATTGTGCACAAATATTTTGTATACATACCTATATATATATATATATATACAGGGTGTTTCAGTTTATTGTTGCATAACTTTAAGATTCGATAGAACTTTTAAGATTAATGCATAAAGTCTATATAAACATGGGTCGAAAAATGCGTGGCTTCCGGGTGTTTAAATTTACTTTCTAAAATAGTTTCTTTTAAATATTTCGAACAATATTTGATGTATAACAGTGGAAATTGGTATACAAGGGTTTTTTGGTACGACAAAACGAACCATGGTCATAGTTTTACTGTAGCCGCTAGAGGGCGCTCTCTACTGTACCTGTAGTGTATTAAAATGATCGAAAAATTTTTCTTAGTGTAATTTTTTGCATTTTGAATAAAAAAACTGATTCCTCGCACTTCAACATAAAAAAGCTCTCTTGTGAATTTTCGTTATAGTTAGCCGTTTTTAAAGTTAGATGCATTTTTAATTATTTATGATAAAATAACGTTAAAAAGTCAGTATCTCGATAATTTTTAGAAGTAGGCTGTGCCTGCAAATATTTTTGAAATTGAAAGCAGAATAAGGTTAAACGTCAATTAGTTGAAAGTTAGTTTTGTTGTCTGTTGAAACCTGAAACGTTTTTTTGTAATTGTGAATGCACGAAATTTAGTTTCTTTTACCTGTGTTTTTTTTGTAAGTTTTATAAAAATGCCATTTTTATTCTCCAATCAGGAGTTAGCGGATATTCATTTTGTGTATGGCTTTGTAAATGGAAACGCAGCAGAAGCAGCCAGAGAATACGCATGAAGATTGCCAAACAGACGACATCCAACTCGCTCAGTATTTGTAAGAGTGCATCGCCAAATAATTGAAAATGGTTTTGGAAATCTCCAAAGGGATCAAAACATAAATGTTCGTCAGCGCAGATTTACCCGTATGATTCTGCGTGAGTTTGATACAGATCCGACCACAAGTGTTAGGAGAGTTTCTGGTGCCTTGGGAATTTCAGCAAGCCATGTTCACCGTGTTCTTAGAAATGACCATAGACGTCCTTACTATTTGCAACCTGTGCAAGGATTACAGCCAGGGGACGGAGAACGAAGAATCCCATTTTGTCAGTGGATTCTTGATAGAACTGATAATAATAGGGAGTTTTTAAGTAACGTCTTATGGACCGATCAGTCATGCTTCACTAGACGTGGAGTGGTAAATTTTCATAATCAACTTATATGGTCGTATGAAAATTTTCAGCATGAATTTAGTGTGAACGTGTGGATTGGTATCTACCGTAATCGACTATTTTGACCCTACCTTTATATTAGATTTAAGAAGATTGGCCTGGCTCCAGCTTGATGGTTGTCCAGCTCATTATTCGAGAATAGTTAGAAACTAGCTGGACGAAAATTATCCAGAAAGATGGATCGGCCGTGGAGGACCAGTTGCCTGGCCTCCACGATCGCCTGACCTAAATCAATTAGATTTCTTTGTGTGGGGATTTCTAAAAGAAAAAGTGTACCAGACTCCCGTAACCACAAGAGATATGCTAATAGAAAGAATCAGGAATGCATGTGATGAAATAAGGCCTTATTTGAATAATGCTATACCACGTTCGATCAGTCGTAGATGTGAATTGTGTATTGAACAATTGGGTTTACATTTCGAGCAATTACTTTAGGTTTTGTATGTTTATCCTAAATATCCAATAGCATTTTAGTTGTAAATAATTAATTTAATTTGTTAAAAATAATATTGGACAATTAAACAAATTAATATTCTGTTTTTTGTGTTTATTTGGAGTTAGGAATTATTGCTGTGTTTAAAAATACAATCTAAACGATCATCTTATATACTTGTAATGCCCAAATCGAAAATGTAAAAAAAATATTATTTTCCCATAAATAATTAAAAATGCATCGAACCCTAAAAATCCAAATACCTCAAAAACGGCTAACTATAACGAAAACTCACAGGAGAGCTTTTTTATGTTGAAAATTGCGAAGAATCAGTTTTTTCATTCAAAAAGCAAAAAATTGCACTAAGAAAAATTTTTCGGTCATTTTAATACACTACAGGTACCTACAGTAGAGAGCGCCCTCTAGCGGCTACAGTAAAACTATGCCCATGGTTCGTTTTGTCGTACCAAAAAAACCCTTGTATACCAATTTCCACTGTTATACATCAAATATTGTTCGAAATATTTAAAAAAAACTATTTTAGAAAGTAAATTTAAACACCCTGTATTTCGGAAGCCACGCATTTTTCGACCCATGTTTATATAGACTTTATGCATTAATTTTAAAAGTTCTATCGAATCTTAAAGTTATGCAACAATAAACTGAAACACCCTATATATATATATACAGGGTGACTTTGAAGTTGAGTCATTAATTTTCAGATAATGATTGTAGAAGGAAGATAAACCAAAATATGTGTGTAAAAATAAAAAAAAAATGTTACCTTGTTTAATAAAGTATCCTCCCGACAAGTATTTCAGTGCGGACCTGTATTTGATCGTGCGGTCTTGGAGCAGCATGCCCTCACCTGTGAGGTCTTAAGTCACCTGATTCACGAGCCCTTTGTACTACATTAACAAAGGCACGAGGGGTTGGTTGCACTCGATTGGGAAACCGATTCGCATAAATCCGTGATGCATCCGGGAGCATTTTGTAAAGACTGCCCCCCCGTAAATAAGAATCATGTCCACAAGTTCAGCATTTTCGTAAACATGTGCCATTTTTGATTTCGTTTGAACCACGCAACACACTACTATTCACTTACGCGTTATCGACTGACGAAAAACATCGTGATAAACGTTTCAAATTCTTTCGCTTTTTTATTTCCGATGCGATGAACCGGTCAGGCGGATTATATCCGTTGTCGCCAAACACGAGCATATAATAGGCAGGGCGGTACTCAAACTTCCAAAGGGCTATAACTTTGTTACTTTAATTTTACCAGAAAAATGGTAAAGGAAAAAAACATTTCTTTTGATCAGATCTACTCACTGTTAAAATAAATGACTCAACTTCGAAGTCACCCAATATAAGGGTTTTTTCTTTGTACACTTTAATCTCTACAAAACCCCCCCCATTACATCCCACTCCATTTAGTGTTGACAGCTACAGTACTATAAAAATAAATTAAATGTGCATAAATACTATTTGGAACATTATAAAGATATATAGAAAATAACATGTATTTATTGTGATATTTCTTAGATCTCTTATTTTTTTATATGTAAGATATAGCATATTAGAGCAGTTAAGTTAATTATAAGCAGACATGTAATCTCTTTGCTACCTGAATTACTAATTACTTATGTTAAATACTAATTTTTATATCTTCAAATGTGTAAAGGAGAATTTATTGTCAAGTTTCATACATATGTATATATAAATAAATAAACTTGGTTTTTTAATTATAATAACGTTTCCAGGATTTTATCTCGTTCCAGTTGCCAGAATAACTTTTAAATCTTCTCTAAGAATCCTCGGTTTCCTATGCAATTCATTCAAGTCCGCGCGCTTTTTGCCCTGTCTAGCTCCATCTCTCTCTCGGACCTCTTTGTCGTATGCTTGCCGCATTATCGTTTCATTGTACAAATGGGACAGGGCGATTCCATCAGTGTTGACAGTTCATTGAGTAAAACCTACTTCAAGACGTAGAGGACAAGTCCAAGCTAATGATAAGCCCAAATCCGCAAGTTTTAAATACTCTATATTGGAGAGCTCTAGAAACCGTGGGGCAGTATGCAAACAAGCTTTCATGAGGATTTATGGTGTGACACCTATCCAAATTCAACGTGTAACTACATTGTTTGTGGCCGGCGCATCTCCAACAGATTTAAGGGGCCTACACAATATAGTGAGATTTCTCCTAGCTCTACAAGCAACCAAACGGTTCAAAAAAATATATCATTACTTTCCAGTATGGGGGCACTCGTTCTTGCCCTGCGATAAAGACTTTGGAGTTTTGAAAAACTCATCAGAAGAGGCGACCGAATGTATCTACCAGAACAATATCAATATGATGATTAATATTTTTGTATGGATTTGCTCAATAAAACATTTTTCATATGTCTAGCATCCTCTATATGAGTACCCTCGACTTTAGTATACGCTAAACCTGAAAAAAGTACAAAAACACTCTAAAAAACAACTGAGTTCAAGAACAGTACAAGTCCAAGAATCACTACCATTTTTGTATGATAGCCAAAACGGTAACTCTACACATTGTGGAGTTACGATGTTTTTTTGAGTTTTTTCAGAACTCTTTTTGGACGTGTACTGTTCTTGGACTGACCGATTCAATTAAAACACATATGTGGTTTGATTCGGCCAGATAATGAAGACCTATAAACATGAAAATCACATGATAGGTTTCAAGGATTACATTAACTCAAGGAGTACTCGGACTGAAATTTCGGCAATTGATCCCCTAATTTTGCACTCATTGTCCCTCAGTTGTTTGCATATTCAACTGATTATACCTAAATTGAATGTTATTTTACAAAAAGAACTACTCCTTGCTATGTTGAAAAACAACAATCTGTATGAATATGTCGTTTCAAATAAACTATCCAGTGTACCTAACAGCAGTGCAGTACTAAAGCTGTTGGATGATTACTGACAGATTAAGTGGGAAACAGGAATCCTCACAAAGTGACTGCCAGTGGATACTGGGTGGTTAACAGAATGATAAAATGCCGGTAGAGTATTGTTGTCACGTTATCAGCTTTTCCGTTTCATGATGTGCGGAAGCTTTGATTGTATTCATTACATATTTATGCTTTACTTTGTTTTAAACTTTGGCGCTTCACTGATTCACAATTTATTAAACGTTAATAGTCAATTTCATACATACATAATTTAAAATATCAGCTATCCAATATGATGCACATTCAACTCAAGAGATCCATGATTTCATCATTTGAGAGCGCGTTCCCCCTGTGACTGTTACTGGAATTTCCATGGAATGTATTACTTTGGGAAGACATCATATTCATGGGTATTTTTGCATTATTGCTATTATTTGTAGGCAATAGATTATCAAGGGCACTCCAATTCTGAGAGTTATCTTGTCCGCAAGTCTGCCCAGCATTTGAATTATTACTGCTCCAGGGATTGGAATTTTGACTGAAATGCTGATTATAATTATTGCTCCATGTATTCGAATGTTGATTATAACCTGATATCATATTTTGTTGAATGTTAGAAGCATTCATTGGTGAATAATGAATTGGTCTCGCGATGGTCCCCATACTCTGATTATTATTTGGTGATAAAGGCAAAGAATTCCAGTTTTGATTATTTACGAGTGTATGAGTTGAATTATTTGATGTATTAGGAGAGTTTGGCATATTCATACTTTGATTATTCATAGACAATGCTAAAGAATTAAAATTCTGATTAATTCCAAATGAATGGCTCACACTGCTTGAAAACAATTTGGGGGTACTTGAGGAGTCGGAAGTAGGTTTCGAGGTTCCAATCCAGTCATCAAGTAAAGAGGATGACAGATCTTTTGGTGGTTTTTCAGCAGTAGCTGAAGACTTAATGGGTTCTATTGTGGTTTGATTTTCGAAAGTATGTAATGATTTCTGTTCAGAAAGTTGCTTATTCTGACTTTCAGAGACAAAACTCTCTAAACCCAATCCAGAAAAAGCATTGCCCAACTCAAATTCATTTATCTTGCGCTTAACAACTGGTACGGTACTTGCGAGAGTTTTCTGTTCATCTTTCACAGAATTTAACTGCTCCAATTTAGTTCTGTGTTCAGCTTCCACAATCTGAAACATATCCTTTACAAGTGTGGTAAGTGCAGTAAACTGTTGTAAAGTCAATCCATTTTCAATGCACAATGGTATCAAAAATGGCAAGACTCTTGTAGCTATAATTTCCTTTGTGATACCTAATTTTTTGTGATTCAACGCTAATTTATATATACCCAAAATCCCCATGAGAACAGCAGGCTCTCGAGAAGGGATTTGTGGCAGAAAGGGAAGCACCTCATCCAATACAAGCCACTTGTCCAGATGCTCTAAAAGCCGGCCCACACACAAAAGGCAGTTCACTCTCACAGACAATGTAGAAGTTGACAAACACAGTTTCTTGATTCTTGGCAATAGACTATTTTTGACATTGGAATGATCAAGTAAACCTGCAAAGGTTGGTAATACTGACAAACATAATTCATGGACCTGGGGTGAATCAGAATCCAAACCACGGTACAACATTGGTAGCACATGTTGTTGTACATCTGCTGCAGGTGTGAGTTTCAGCAAGAGCTCCATCCTTTGCAGCATTAGCAGAAGAATCTGAAATTCAAAAATATGTTGGGAGAGTACTCACAAGACATATTTCTATTAAAGGAATGACTTTATAAGTACGCTTCATTTTCAAAATATGGAGGATTTTAGTGAAGCACTAGTATGGTTTAGAGGGTTACAAGTGCATCATTGGTCATAACAGTACAGTATTTTGACATATGAGTGGAAAACATAGGGATCGGACGATCAAAGTAATAAAGGTGCAATACATCCAGGCACTAAACAGTAGGTCCGTAATTTTAATTCATTTATAGACCATCTTTCTACAACTTTTACAATGATAGAAAACAAATTTAGGGATTACAAAATGGTAATTTGTGGTGATTTTAACATAAACTTTTTAGATTGTAGTGCCAATTTAAGTTCTCTTCTGGATATGCTTGGGGATATCCGGCCAACAGTCAATTCACCCATTAGAATGAATAGCTGCATTGATAACATATGCGTCAATTTCGATATGGAATTATGCCAACCCTTGGTAATGAATATTAGTGACCACTTTGCTCAGTTACTGAATATACAGTGTCGACAAAAAAGACCTGATAAAAAGCCCCCACCATAAAAAAATGCATAAGCAGGAAAACATAAATTATTTTAACCAGCTTCTGAGCATAAAAGATTGGTAATCTATTTATAATTCATTCGGTGACGCAAATGATAAATTTAAAGCATTTTCGAATATTTTCAATTATTAATTTGAATTGGCTTTTCCCTTGAAAATAAGGCATTCACACGAAAAACCTAGGACGCCTTGGATCACAAAGGGTCTTATAGTTTCAGGCCGAAAACTTAAGGAATTATATCATTTAATTGTTGATACCCAATCTAAAAAATATTGTAATGATGACAAAAAACTGTACAGAAAGTTATTAGTAAAAAGCTCTACCACCGAGATCTAATTATCAGTTCAAACAATAAATCAAGAACTGATTGGAAAATAATCAAGTCTGATAGAAATATATAACATAAGCGTGAAATAATAATCTGATCACCGACTCTAATGAAATTGCTGACAAATTCAACAATCACTTCGCAGAGGTCTCAAAAACCCGAGAGGAAATAATATGCCCAAGCTTGTACCTTTCAATGTAAACAGTCTGCTGAGCTTCTTTTTTCTCCGGCCACAGAACACGATATTTCAAGCATAATAACAAATTTGAAAAGATCGGATTCTACTGGAGATGAGACAGCACCAATTTACTGAAGAAATTTTATATGCAGATTTTAGAGCCATTAACATATTTGGTTAATCTATCCCTAGAAACTGGGAAATTTCCCGAAAAACTAAACACATCTAGAATTATCCCTATACCCAAATCAGGAAATCCAGAAAACATTTACAACTACAGATCAATATAATATCTTTTAAGCCCATTTGCAAAAATTATAGAAAAACATGTTGCCATTTGCTTGACCGATTTCTTTATTAAACATAACTTTTTCAACAGTTACCAATTTGGGTTTCTCAAAGGAATGTCCACAGCTAAAGCCATTTTCTGCCTTTTAAACATGATGTATACAGCTATGGACCAAAATAAGAAAACAGTAGGAATATTTGTAGACCTGAGCAAAGGTTTTGATGTGGTAGATCACAAGCTTCTTCTGCAAAACTGGAGTTATATGGAGTAAGGGGACTTCCACTTATGTGGTTTTATGAGCTACCTGAGCGATAGATCTCAGTATATACAGGTTGGTAAACACAAATCCCGCCCAACTACATGGGGCACAGGAGTTTCTCAGGGCTCAATACTAGGACCTATTCTATACATAATATATGTAAATGATTTCAACAGCAACAACTTTGTTATGTATGCAGATGATACGTCGCTCTTAGTAGATGCTACCACAGTGCCAACCCCAGCTGTATCCGCGACAACAGAATTTACACGGAGTAATGAGTGGTTTGTTGATAACGGCCTGGCATTGAACAGAGAAAAGCCATTGTTTGTCCGTTTCATGTATACATCGGAACCAGATCACAGCCTACTAATTAAATCGCATCAAGGAACAATTAGGCAATGCCAGTCAGTGAAGTTTACATCTGTCTTACAATTTTAGTTGGGACCACCACATAGATCACCTTTGTAAGAAAATCACTCCAGTGGGGTATTGCATCAATAGACTCAGGTTTATAGTTAGTTGGTAGACCTCTACTATTAATGTAATACTTTTCCTACTTTTCATCGGCTATAACCTATGGTATAATAGCTTGGGGGCAACTTATCTCGCAAATAGGGTTTTTATTGTTCAAAAGAGGATTATAAGGTTAATGGCAGGGGTAAACAAGTTGAGTAGTTGTAGGATTTTTAAGGAGATGGGAATTTTAACCTTAACATACAGGGATTGTCCGGAAAGTAATTTGTCTCATTTTCTTCCGCCATGACTGTACTTCTGAGCGTGCGCGCACCGACTGGATTCGGTAGAGGGCGTTCCTAGCTAACGAATGAGCGGCTGGTCGGTTGTCTCCGAGCAGTTCGAGAGTCAGGACAGGCATTTTCGCACGACGTGTTTCTGTGAGTGGTGCAAGCCGAAAATGCAGCGTTCGTTAGAGCAGAGGTAGGCGATTAAGTTCTGTGTGAAACTCGGTAAATCTGCGACAGAGACGTTTGATATGATCCAGCAGGCTTACCCAGGTGTTGCTTTAGCAAGAAGTGGTGTGTTTCTGTGGCACCAGGCCTTTTTGGAGGGCCGGGTAGAGGTCGCTGATGAAGACCGTGCTGGAAGACCTTCGACTTCGACAAACACCGATAATGTGACTCGTGTGCGCAAAGTTTTGAACTCAGACCGTCGACTAAGTATTCGTTTAATTGCCCAAATGTTAAATTTACCAAAATCTGTGGTTCATGACATTGTGACACAGCATTTGAACATGCGCAAGGTGTGCGCGAAGATGGTCCCAAAAGTGCTCACTGACGACCAGAAATTGCGGCGAGTGGAAGTGTGCCAAGAAATTTTGAACATGTGTGAAAGTGACCCCCAGTTTTTGAATAACGTAATCACAGGTGACGAGTCGTGGATCTTTGAGTATGATCCCGAGACAAAGAGGCAATCTTCCGAGTGGCACACGACGGCGTCTCCTCGCCCAAAAAAGGGAAGAATAAGCAAATCCAAAGTCAAAGCGATGCTAATTGTCTTTTTTGACATCAAAGGCATCGTCCACCATGAATTTGTTCCTCCTGCACAAATTGTCAACGCCAAGTTTTACGTGGAAGTGCTCAGGAGACTCAAACGAAGGGTCAGTCGGGTCCGACAAGACATCGCAGCCGACTGCAAGTTGCACCACGACAACGACCCGGCTCACACCGCCTTTCTTGTGAACGCTTCCGCAGCCGCCCTACAGCCCAGATGTGCCTCCCCCCCGGACTTTTTTTTGTTTCCTCGCCTGAAAAGGCCGATGAAAGGCAAGCATTTTGAGACGACAGAGGGGATCCAAGCAGCATGCACCGCGGCTCTCAAGGCTATTCCGGAGAATGCCTTCTGTGACGCCTTCAATGTTTGGAAATCGCGCTGGATTTTGAAAGTTTTTAAAGAATTGTAACGATTGGCTCAATAATTTTTTTTAAGTCGACTCAGTCCTATTACTTTCTGGACAAACCCTGTATATCTATATTTATGAGCTATTAATACATGTCAAATCAAATTTGACAAGCTTTCGCAGCCTAACCGATAATCACAACTATAATACTAGGAATCTCTAAATAGCAGCAGCGGTGGCCGCAGTAGTAGACTCTTCGGTCTCCTAATCAGTCGTCGTGCGCTGTGCGGGTTCGAATCCCGTCCCAAGAGAAATTTTTCTCTTGGCTATGGATGTTGTGATCGTCCGTAGGTGGTAGACGGTCTCTGATTGTCGAACGCAGAGGTACCACCCGGCGGATCTGGCGTCCCCCCTTTTCCCTGTATCCCCCAATAGTCCCTCGGTACCCATGGGTGTTTAGGCCTTAGGCCTTCGTGGTAGCTGGATCATAGAAAAAAACTGCAATTCCCAGTTCACAGGCTTGCCAAAACGGAAAATTGGCATAAAGCTCTACAATAAATTACCTGAGCAGATTAAACAATGAAACCCCTATTTATACTAGCAAAAAATTTAAAAAATGCTTCTTGAAAAAGCCACCAATAATTTTTAGATAATGTTTGTTATGTATATGGTTTTATCTTATTACCTACCTGTTCAGTGTGTTGGAATGTGTGTTATTATGTATTGTTGATTCCTTTAATTTCTATCAAACGTTTATTTTGTAAAATAATCGGAATTTGACCTCTATGTGATTGCATATAACTTTTCTTTGTTAGTTTTCGCATTTGACGCATTCTATGTCATTGAAAGATGATAACTTGAATAAAGTTTATTACTATTATTATTATTATTATTAACGAAAAAAATATTTTTATTAAAAGGCTTGACAGAAACTCCTTCAGTATTCCTCACCCTATCAAATATATCGTTTATACTCTACTTTAGATAACAAATATTTTCTACCGTTTCCATTCTGATGCGTCATTACTATTTTTGATGCAACATCTCTATAGACTTGAACCAAAACGGAAGATAGTAGCATAACACATCATACCTTAGCACTAACGCTGCGTATCTTTGAATAGCGGGATCCGCGCTGACCGACTTTGCTTACAAAGGCGTTAACAGTGGCGTACAATGTGTTATTTATGCTACTCTCTGTTCCGTGTTGGTGCCTGAGTATAAAAAATTCATAGTTCAAGCTTAGCGTTCGCTACTGTGTTTATTAATGCGTCCTGTGAATAAAACGTTCCCTGTTAGGGATATATGGACAACTACAGGGCAAGTACATGTCTACATGCAGCGCTCAAACTGGAGCGGTCATGGTAGCCAGTAAAAATACTTGAAGACGAAAAATTAGGTATGGGACGGGATTGGCGTACTTGCCCTTCTGATTCGCTCTGGTGTTGAAAACACGACCTATTTTCTCATCAATACCGCACCAGTACACGTGACCCTCAAGAGTTAGACTGACTTGTAGTAAAGCAGGTAGTTGGGGAAACATAACAAAAGAGAACAATGACGTCAGCATATTTAAATGATTCATCGCCCCCAAAACTTATTTCAAAAATGTTCAATGCAAAAATTAGTGCCTTAACATTAAATTTCCTCACTTAATATAGACACGCTCAAACAAAAAAGTTGATCTGAATGGGTCTATTCTTGACCATATTTTGGCATATGCACATGTGAAGTTTCAGCACAAGGTGAGGGGAAATATGTCGAAAAAATATGTACACTGATACTTCAACATTCTAATAGTTGTAAAAATTATTCTACTCTATCATCATATCTCACCTGTATAGGTTCCATAAGTTTCATTATGGGCTTTAAATGAGGAAAAATATGCATGCAGAACTCTTGTTGTGTGCAATTCTCAGCAATGTTGAAAATACTCGGTAAGATGAAAGGCACCATTACTGGTTGACCCAAATCGTGAACTAAGCATGCCAGAACCCTTTGGACTTTCACTCTTTGTGGAAGTTTTGTCAAGGCCTCAGGAAGGCCTTTGTAGAATTGTGATTTTTGAAGGTTGTCCCATTGAAGTAAAGAGTCTAGGTAGGTAAGTGTTTTTATACCCACTTCATCAAAGTAAGGGATCTGAAATTGAACAAAAAAATTTATTGTTTTTTCAAGGTTCCAGATGATTGAATCAATTTCAAATTCAATGTTGTCACTTTGATTACTAAAATCATTGATTAACATATTCTACCTGAAGACAGACAAGCTAATGCTATATGCCGCATTCAAAAAATTATCCAAGATAAAATGAGATACTGTAGCATAATCTATGAAAATTTGTCACAGCTCTTTATTTACTACATATACTTTGAAAAGGTTGGTGTTCTATAGATGGCACTGTAGCCAACTATACGACCATATACGAGCATATAGGCAGCGCCATCTGAGACACAAACCTTGTTGAAGCTACTTTAATCAAGTATATATAGACAGTATCTCATTTATCTGCGATAGCGTCCGCGGTCTGGGGGTACGCTGCTCCCAGCTCCGCAAGCGACTTGCTGCTCTAGAGATGAAGCTACTCCGGATCGCCACCAGTGCACCATCCTACGTAAGAAACTCAACCTTGCGTAGAGACCTGCATTGGGACACTATTCACGAGTACATGAGGAAAAAAGCGGAGAAGACCTTCCAGAAAGCTCAGGACCACCCGAACGAGCACCTACGATTCCTCATGGACTACGATCCGGACGAGAGGCCTCGCAACCGCAGAACCAGGTATCCTAGACCCAAGTCACAGTTGGCAGACGCTAACTGGAACCTTGACTAGGAGTACCCGCGGTTGCTCTCCCCTTCCCCCCCCCCCACGGCGTGGATGCAGAGGACCAGGAACCACCGGGACCAGGACCCACCAGGACCAGGACCAACCAGGACCAGGACCCACCAGGACCAGGACCCATCAGGACCAGGATCAGGAACAATATATAGGTAAGAGGACTTGAAACTCTTGATTTTTCGAAAACAAGAGTTTCAAGAGAACCTAGCAGACCCTCTATCGATGATCTCTTAACGACATCGATAGAATGTGCGAGGTAAAGGGAACCAACCCGGCGTTCCCAGAGACTGAAACACATGACGAGACGTTGTAGCAGACCGCAGGCCACGCACAACACATGGCCTACCGAGACGCTGATGAGTCGAGCCACGCGGAGGTTAGGGTTTAGTGGGTATTAGGTGGTCTCCTCAAGACAACCTGGAGTCTCTCATACGCCGTAGTTCGGGCTATGGTATGGTGCATAAACGCATTCCCCCCTCACCAAAAAAAAAAAAATAAAAAAAAAATCTGCGATAATTTTTTGGACGCGGGTGTATATTTTTATTTTCATGTAGAATACCTTATACAATGCTAAAATTTAAAGTAGCAGTTTTACATTTGTAGTAATTACACGCAAAAAATCGGTCATTTCGCGATATCAGAACCATGATCTTCGCATCCAATCTATCCTAGAGACCAGTGAATCTTTTCATTAGGCAGGCATCATTAGACAAACTATGATGACCAGCTGTTTTATAGTTGTGGTAACATACTGTATGACATTTAAGAGCCATTTTATGTTTATTACAGTATATTCAGATAAGAGATAGACCGGATGTAAACAAAAGGTTCGGGTGATTTTCACGCTAACGCCGCCGTCGCGACGTAAAACAGGAGCCCTCATTGGTCAATTCGCAATTAAATGCCTATGCCGAGCGGCAGAGCAGTCGTATCAAGGCAGAGTCACATTCAGGTTCAGACGTGTTACGTATGTCGTGTGCATCATTGCAATTTGATATTTCTTTGGACGTTTTCGTTTGTTATCTTATTAAGTTGTTGAGTTTGTCGTTGTTATTGTTATACCTTGTTATTGATTGTTATTGTTATCAACTGCTTGCGCAAAATGCCCAGTAGTACAGATACTGCCGATGAAGTTGTAAACTCCTGTAGTCCACCTAGGAAACGCTCTAAAAAAAGACACCTGAGTGCAGAAATGACAGAGGTCATTTTGAATATATAGATCGAGCGCGAGGAGAACGAGGCATCAACCATCAAAGAAATTGTTGTGAAGGTTTCTCACAAAGTTGGGGTGTGTCGCGCATCAGTGTTTAATGTGTTAAGACAATACAAAAAAATCACTCCTTTTCTGAGCCAATGACCAGTAAACATCGCAAAAGTATTGTTAAATCATTGGATGAAGCTGATAAGCATGCGATTAGGAGGAAAGTGCATGAATTCTTCTTTAGGAATGAAATACCTACTATAGATAAAGTACTGCAGGAGGTAAATGGAGATACAACGTTGCCAAATTTCAAACGATCAACTTTCCATGCGTTACTGAAGCATTTAAATTTCAAATGGAAAAAAACGGGGTCGTAATAGTTTACTACTGGATAGAGAAGAAATTGTGCTATGGAGGAGGGATTATTTAACAAAAATTGGGAAATATAGAAATCAAAACAGGACGATTTATTACCTTGATGAAACGTGGGTAAACGCAGGACACACTACAAGTAAAGTATGGGTTGATGATTCTGTAACTTCATCCAGGAGGGCCTTTCTAGATGGACTGTCCACCGGATTAAAAAATCCAGCAGGTAAATACGAGTAATAGACAACAATCGGATGTTTTTCAAACCTTGGGAACAAGGTTCTAAACATTAATTCCAGGGGGCAGATAAAACATATTACAAGTAACAGAACTTTTATAACTTTCGATAAAATGCGTGGATGTTTTATTGTCATTTTCATTTGTTAGAACTTTTTTAAGCCATGTTTTTATGTGTTTTTGATATTTCAATAATTTTTTAATATAATCTTAAAATATGTCGAATATTATAAACTTAAAAAAAGTTACTAAGTTTTATATTGTGTGCCGTTCCTAATATTTCTAATCATTTTAATTCATACTTTAAGCTTTATAAAGTTATAATTTGTTAATATTAATATTTGCGCGTATTTCAGGTTCCTGATCATTCATTTTTTAAAGGTTTATAACTTTAAATTAAATTGTGAAGCGCTGAGTAATCATACGACGTTCAATATTCTTTCTTTCAATATGACTAAATAATCCCAGTTATAGCAATCTGATACTCATGTCTCAATGTTTTTTCGCTGAATGTGATGAAAACATTTGAAAAAGGTTCGCTTATTGAAATAAATCTACACCAGTTAGTACTTCGATTTCCAGGTAAAGGGAAAAGGCTCATTATCTGCCATATTGGCAGTGAGGATGGATTTGTTGTTGACGGTCTGTGGTGCTTTGAGTCTAAGAAAACTGGAGATTACCACGAGGAAATGAATGGCGAATCGTTTGAACAGTGGTTTTCAAAAATTTTACCGAACTTAGAGGAAAACGCAGTAATTGTGTTGGATAATGCGCCTTATCATTCTCGAAGAATGGAGAAGGTCCCAACAACGGCTTCAAGGAAAGTTGATGTTCAAAATTGGCTCCGCTCGAAAAATATCAACTTTGAAGAAGCAATGCTGAAAGTACAATTATTAAGAATTGTCAAGGATCACAAGGCGGAATATCAAAAATACGCCATTGACGAAATGGCAGCAAGTCAAAATAAAACTGTGCTCCGTTTACCTCCATACCATTGCGAGCTCAATCCCATTGAGCTCATATGGGCAGAGGTTAAAAATTATATAGCTAAGCACAATACAACTTTTAAATTTGGTGACCTCAAAGGACTTTTCAAAGAAGCACTAGAATTAATAACAGCGCAAAAATGGGAAAACTGTATTAAGCACGTGAAAGACAAAGTTGAAAAGAGAATGTGTGAACTGGACAATATTTTAGAGGAACAAGTGGAGCCATTCATTATTGACGTTGGTGCTTCAGGCAGTAGCAATGATGAAAGCTCATCAAGCTCATCTTTCCAATAAAAGATGTCGTCCATCAAATTCGGTAAGTTATAAGTAATTATAAAGCTACTGTATTTTTTAATTAATTATTGACATTTTTGAACCCATTTTGGCAAAACCTATTCAAGAATCTACTTTCTGACAATGTTCAACCATGCACATTTTTTTACGTTTTGAACGTTTTATTTTGGTTACATATTTACCTAGAAATCAAAAAATATACTAATCAATATTCTAAAAGCAATTTTAAGAGATATACGATTATTTTTAATTTAGGCTAATTTAAACGCCATTTTGAGATTATATTCGACTGTATTTCACCAAACATCAGGCGGCATCCGAAGCTGGAAATCGAAGCGAAAATTTTGAAACCCTTATGTATATTTACATCATTATATATTTCTTACCCCACCCCCACATGATCCTGTATCCATCACCAATCGTATACACATCGAATTGTGCTAATTTACTACAAAGTTACGCAAAGCAGCATCTACTATCTAAAATATGTACTGCGTGACTCTTAATACGTCCCTGCCGAATGTTACAGTGTTCGATGATCACGTGGTCTTGTTTATGTCCGGTCTATCTCTTATCTGAATATACTGTAGTACCAATTCAATATACATATATACACATGATTTCCTAATAAAAATATAAACCTGATCGCAAAGGGGCAAACTTTAAAGGTACATAGTACACAACATTTTAACATCCCCAGTTACTAAAAGTGAACATAACTTCTAACTAAATAAGAGATTTGGAGTCAGAAAATGGACCACCTGTTTACCTATTATGAATGAGTTTTGATCTAGATTACAAATAAGCTTGAATTTTTTAAAATTTCCTTTAATGGGCCCTTAACTGAATGCAAAAAAAATGGACAAGTAATTCTAAAATGATTGGAAACCTTACTTATAGTAGGAAGATTAGCCTCTGGCAATCTCAGTGATAAGATTGTCAATCTACATACTCTTTAGCATACTCTTACTTAAGGATTAGGTTTTCATCTAAAATCCCATACTAAAAAAAAAATCTGATAATCAAATTATGGCTATGTTTTCTAAGTTTTTGGTCAACACTTACATAGTTCTGACTTTGCCTCTGCCTTAACAGTTCTATACATGCTAATAGCTACAATCAAACATGACAAATATTAAAGAAAAATATTAATTACCTTAAGAAACTGATGAGCATCAGGTCTAACTTCAGGTGTAACATTCAATAATAGCTTAACAAAGTCTCGTAAATCTTTTGGAATGCAGTTCAATTTATCAGTACTAAGTTTTTTGAGTTCTTGCACCCTCCCTTTATATTGCTGATACTCCTTAATGGGAAACAAACACTTCTTGTCAACAGCATGGAGTGTATATGTCAACATCCCCAATGAAAACATGTCACTAGCTGGGGAATGTGTTTGAATTGTTACACATTCAGGAGCCAGAAAATCCAAGTTAGGTTGACAAGCTTTGGGTATAGATGGGCTGTAGGGCTCAAATAGATAGACAGGAGCTACATTGCCTGGACTTGTGTTATGAATACAAAAGTCTAGCCCAAAAATTTTCCAAGCTCCTTGATTATTGATAACAATACTCTCTGGACATATATTCTTATGTAAAAGCTTAACATCAGTGTGGAGAAATGCTAAGCCTTCTGAAACTTGCAAGAGACCATACTTAATCTCAATGTCAAAAAATTTATAATCTGACATATTTGCAGGCTGAGGCATATTGGTAGTTTGGCCCAGAATATTTGCCAAACTAGCAAAAACTGGTTCTGTAGCAAATGCTAAGCTCTCCCTACTTTCTTCAAGGGGATGCTGAACAATGAGAATTTTTGGATGTCTGATCTTTGTTAACTGCACTACTCCTCTACGCAGAATCTCTAATATCATGTCTCTATCATTCTTGTTGTATCTTTCTAATTGGCGCTTTTCAAATACAAAAATTGAGGCTTCTTGTTTTGTAGACCTTTTGTATCCTTTGTATATCTTCCATAGCAATCCTAAAAGAGAATAAAGCTGATTGAGATTTGAATCTTCAACTATACTTTGAAAGTGAATAAAAAATTGAAAACCTCATTCATTAAATTATACTCCTGTATAAAAATTTTCACAAAGGACTTAGTTTAGTGGAAGAACATTGAGAAAATTGCTCATTAGTGCTTTCCAACCCACTCACCCAAAATCTAAGGTAGCACATACCTGAAACCACAGGAAATTACTCACAAAACTGAAATTAAATCCTTACCAGGTCCTGCCGAAGCAATATGTGCAACAGATTCAAACTCTCTGGTAACTGGATTCCCAGGCAGAACACCTGATAACTGAGATACAGTACTGCTAACAGAACTGCTCACTTGCGAAATTACTTTGTTAAATACATCCATTTCCAAGAAGTGGAGAAGTGAACTGCTGTTAACTTGCTCAGATAAATCCAATAAACATCTTCACAGTTCAATTGTGAAATTTTTCAGTTTCTATAGAAGATTCTTCTTTTTGTTTTGATTTTCTGACACAAATGACGTATCAAAACAAATGGTGTCAACTGACAACGTGCTGTCAAAATTGTGAGCAAAAATAAGTGTAACTTTTGGTTGTCTGTTATGAATTAAAGATCAAAAAACAGCAAATCCAGTTGAAATAACATTTATCAGATAAATATTTCCTCTTTCAGGCCAAAAAGAATTAAGAATGGACTATACAATTTTGACAAATGTGCCGGATGCAAGTGCAATGCATAGTTGCCAGATTTTCGATTTTATCACCAAACTTGAGATCGCAGTCTGAAACCCATGGAACGTTGATGGCAGAACGAGGCGAGTTTGAAATTGTCCGGATTGACTCCCAGACCCCTGACTCCCAGTTTCTAACATATCTTCTGGCATATATATTTGCCCCCTGCTTTGATTTTAAAAATATACGTGATCGGAGATGTTGATAAGAACGGTATCGGAGTGTGGCTGGTAATGGGGAAAATACAGGACACCAATATTAGACAACACTAAAACACCACGTTAAAATAAAACGCGCTCGGTACTCTACACTCTAGGACGCATTTATGTAAACATTTTACGGAACCTCTGTACAACCCTACGCGAAACAATATTTGCTAATGCAGCATTCGAGTTGCAAATCACAGTTCATTCAAACAGTTTTTCCAACAGTTTATAAAACGTTCTTTTCAGATGAATAAGTAACACTCCAAATATGCTTTCTCCACAACTAACATAAAAATCGTGTCCATGATAACTCTGCGGCAACAATGTACATTACCAGTGTTGCCTGACGCTTTTTGGGTTGAAATGTCGTCAAAATTACATCACGATTTATTTCACTTTGACGCCAATTTTACAATTTTTGTTGGGTCTAGGTCTAGTGTCGTTGGAATCTTGTGTGCTGGAGCTAGACTACTATAGATCAAGCAGTTTATCCTTATAATAATATAAACATTTTGGTTGCAATGAAATGTTACATATACAGGGTGTCCGCAAAGTTGGGGTTTTCCTTTTCAGAAACAACTACCCTTGAAATAACAAAGGTAATGTGTAGTGAAACGACGGCGACCAAGTAAAAAAAAAAATAAAGGAAAAAGTACTCACTCTCGAGTTGACGAGAAGGGCTAAGTACGTCTCTGCCCGAAATCATACCGCTCCAACAGAAAATGAAATCAGCTGATGAGCATACTGTTCACCATGCCAGCCCAAACATCCACCGAAAATGTTTGTTGAAAATGTGCCCGACGGACAGCGTGCGGATTTTCTACTGACCAAACATGAGTGTTGCGAAAGTTATTCACCCCATTACGCGTGAACGTAGATTGGTCTGTCACCAATATGCACTTCAAAAAGTTCGGATTATTGTCATGTTGATGCAACAACCACTCACAAAACCGCACTCTTGCTGGAAAATCGTCAGGTTGAAGGGCTTGTACACGTTGAACGTGAAACGGATACAGCCCCTCTTCACGCAGCGTTTGTCACACTTTAGTTTTTGATACTTGCACTTCTCTAGCCACGTCTCTAGTGCTTGTTGTTTTTTGAAACGCAATCGATTATACGAGTTCGTTTACCTCTACAGGCGTGACCGTAACCTTCGGTTGAAGGTTGCATACTGACCTGACACACTGACCCCGACCCCCGACCCAGTTCTGTCGTCGGGTTGAGCTAGTAGCCGGTACCAGTTTGGGATATCCCAAGTCGCGGCTACAGGACGGTATTCAGATATTTTTGATGTTGCAGAGCCCTTTATCTCGGTTCCCTTAAGACATTGGTGTATATGGTACTAAGAAAAGTTGCTTATGTTTTCAAGATCTACACGTCGTGTAAAGGAAAACCCCAACTTTGCGGACACCCTGTATGTAGATATGTTTTGTAATGTATTGCGCAGAAATGTCCTACTCAGATATGTTTCATGTACAGCGACACAGGTATATGTTACAAAAAATGTTCCAGATTTAGGTTTTGTAACATTGCACAGAAACATTTTATTGTAACATATATGTTGCTGTATCTGAAACATATCTGAGTAGGTCAGGAACGCTTCCATGTTGTTACCGAAACCCAACCAACCAAAAAGTTTATAGGGAAGGCCTTACGTTTTGGCGTAAATTTCCTCAATACTTTGGAACACGCTACATATACATGACATTGCTACAATATTATGTTTCTTTTTTGAAAATGCATAGGCTTATGTGTCACTTTCTTCAGGATCTTGGACTTGTGAAATTTGTTTAAGGATCCACTTTGCAGCTTGTTTCGCAAAGCAGCACAGCAATTTCGCACAGTTTTTCTGTGTTATGAAAATCGTATGTTTCTATGCATTATTAGAGAAACACTAACAACCACCTATTTTCCAATTAACGTTAGTCAAAAATAAATTTGGTGTACACTTGGCAACATTGCTAATAATGCATCAAGAATTCCAGATGCTATCATACCGCCATGGTTGAAATGGGCGGTAGACCGGTAACTAATATATAAAATGTTAAAGTTAGAACCTTCATCAAATTTTTGTACTATTATTTCAGTAGTACTAACATAAAATTTGGTGAACAGATTTTCTATAATGCTAATTTTTGTACAAAATTGAGAATTTCAATCCTCCGCTGGACGTTTCTGCCGTCACTTTTAAAAGTCGCGCCGGAAATTCGGAGGAACTGTCATAACCTAGTTCGCAGCGTAGACGTTTGATTGGTCAATACATCTCCCGCCACCCATATTTTCAATGTTATTGTAGGTACCCCTCTAACGCTACATTGATAAAACGCTTTGGTGGCTAATCGATGTTCTTCTGTCTTGGCATTGTTCGCGGTTCTTGAACGAGTTTCAGAAAAGCTTACTTTATCAACGAGGTTAACGTTTTGAAAATTATCGCAATTTTTAACGCTATTTTGTATCGTTTTTCCGTAGATATTAATAGAAATAAGAATGGAAAAACGTATAGAATTAGAAAAGCGTGGCAAAAACCCTGCAGATGTGAGTATTTCAATTATTTTGTTATTGTTGCTGCTTATGAGGTGTCGTCATTTTCTTACATGTGCTGGACGCGTTTATTATTTACATCAGCGTGAATTTTTTTGTAAATATGCACAATATCAGATACTAATCATTTCGTTGATTTACTGGACCTGTTTAATAGGTTAAATAAAGTAGACATGATTTGTATTAAATGTTTGTAGAAAATTGAAAAATGTCACCTCACTCAATTGGAAACAGTTTTACCAATGAGTATTGCTCCTTATCTGATACAATATGAATTAAAATGCTGCATTTTAAATATTTGTGCGGTATAGCTCTGCTGCAAAGTTAGAATGCTGCGTTATGAATATCTACAACAGTTCTTGAAATTGAGTTGTGGAGTATGTTTTTCAGTTGTTGGACTACATATTGTTTATACATAATTTCAGATTGTCGAATTGAATTTGGACAACTGCAGGAGTACATCAATTGTGGGATTAACTGATGAATTTGTTAATTTGGAAAGTTTGTCTCTTATTAATGTGGGTTTGGTATCTCTGAAAGGTTTTCCCAAGCTTCCAAACCTGAAGAAACTTGATCTTGGAGAGAACAGGTATTATTTATAATAAATTGCATTATCATAAAGAACATTATTTGAACTATAAATGTATTTCTAGGATAACAAATGGTTTGAACTTGCTGGAAACAAGTCCAAAGCTTACATATTTGAATTTAAGTGGTAATAAAATCAAGGATCTGGCCACACTTGAACCTTTGAAAAATTTCAAAAACCTGAAAAATCTAGATCTTTTCAACAATGAGGCAACAATGATTGATAACTATAGGGAAAAAGTTTTCAAACTGATTCCCAGTTTAAAATACCTAGATGGGTAAGATTGTTAGTTTTACTCTACATAGTATTTTAATTAAATGTTGCCATTTTGCATGTATACCACTATGTTTTTGATTATTAGAATAAACTTGGATATATAAGAAGAAGGCTTTCATATAAATATGTAATAAGACTTTTTTTTTAAATACATCATAAGTAGTTATTCGACATACACAAACACTGCAATTCAAATTTATTCATCTTCCTACAAAAAAATAATCTTTTCCTTCTAGGTTTGATGAAGATGATGGAGAAGCTGACACAGATGGTGAAGAAGAAGAAGTAAATGGGAATGAAGATGATTCTGAGGCTGAAGATGAGGAAGAAGATGGTGGGGATGAAGAAGATGATGAGGAAGCTGAGGCAAGTAATATTAAGTAATTTATTTCCTCTTGACAAAAAACATTGTATAGTAATTGTCATAGATTTTCAAATCTAAAATAACCTATATCTAATAAAAAAAAACACAGTCAAATAGTAAAAAATAGGATTTAACAGCATATATCACAATATTCTTACACATTATAAAAGCTATTTTCAATCAAATAGTCTTTTAAGAGATTCTTAAATGTGTTTAGACTGTGGCAAATCTTTATTTTGAAAAGAAGTAGGCTAAACATTTTTAGGCTATTATTATTTGGGGACTTGGGCATAATTTGAGTTATATAGGGTGGTATTTAAAAGTATTAACTAATCCTTGTGTATTAATTGAATGCATTTGGCCATGTGTTGGGAATTTCTCTCTATTTTTAAATATGTATAAACAAGTTTCCACGATATATAAACCAGTAAGTGTTAGTCCTCTGAATCTCTTAAACAGATCTCTACATGATATTCTAGCACCAATACCTACTATACATCAGATAATTATTTTCTGTTTCAAGAACATCTTTTGAATTAGTAGAGATCTCACAAAATGATATGCGATATCTTATGATAGAGTCAACCTGAGCATGATTTAAACTAATTAATTGATTCAATGGTAGAATATCTCTTAAATTTAATAACAGATAGTATAATGAATTGAGTCTTGTTATTACATAGTCACAGTGCTGCTTCCACTCCATACAGGAATCCAAAGACACACCGAGGAATTTTACATGTTCCACATTATTGATATTAATATTATTTAATTTTAATTTGAAACTGAGTTGGTTGCAATTTGTTTGCCTTGTGCAAAATCTAATAATAATAATAATAATAAATCTTTATTTCAAAATAACAATGCATGATTACAATGTATTATACACTGTTAGGTGAAATATATGTCACAGTGTCATCAAGACAGAAAAAACAAAGAGGCAAAACATATAACATAATAGAGATATTACATTTCAAAATATTGTTGATGGTCATATGGTTCTAAGTGCATTAAAAATTGATAAGTACTCTTTTTATATTCTTTTATATCTGCCAACCTTTTAATTTCTTGTGGTAACTTATTATACAGGGTGTCCGCAAAGTGGGGGTTTTCCTTTACACGACATGTAGATCTTGAAAACATAAGCAATTTTTCTTAGTACCATATACACCAATGTCTTAAGGGAACTGAGATAAAGGGCTCTGCAACATCAAAAATATCTGAATACCGTCCTGTAGCCGCGACATCACGGAGTGGTACAATGTCACTGGCTCGACCCGCCGACAGAACTGGGTGGGGGTCAGTGTGTCAGGTCAGTATGCAACCTTCAACCGACGGTTACGGTCACGCCTGTAGAGGTAATCGCGTAGACGAGAATCCCTCAACAAGCACTAGAGACGTGGCTAGAGAAGTGCAAGTATCAAAAACTAAAGTGTGGCAAACGCTGCGTGAAGAGGGGCTGTATCCGTTTCACGTCCAACGTGTACAAGCCCTTCAACCTGACGATTTTCCAGCAAGAGTGCGGTTTTGTGAGTGGTTGTTGGATCAACATGACGATAATCCGGACTTTTTGAAGTGCATATTGGCGACAGACGAATCTACATTCACGCGTTTGGTCAGAAGAAAATCCGCACGCTGTCCGTCGGGCACATTTTCAACAAACATTTTCGGTGAATGTTTGGGCTGGCATGGTGCGTCTGCTCGGTAGCGCATCAGCTGATTTCATTTTCTGTTGAAGCGGTATGATTTCGGGCAGAGACGTACTTAGCCCTTCTCGTCAACTCGAGAGTGAGTACTTTTTCCTTTATTTTTTTTTTTACTTGGTCGCCGTCGTTTCACTACACATTACCTTTGTTATTTCAAGGGTAGTTGTTTCTGAAAAGGAAAACCCCAACTTTGCGGACACCCTGTATATGTAACATTTCATTGCAACCAAAATGTTTATATTATTATAAGGATAAACTGCTTGATCTATAGTAGTCTAGCTCCAGCACACAAGATTCCAACGACACTAGACCTAGACCCAACAAAAATTGTAAAATTGGCGTCAAAGTGAAATAAATCGTGATGTAATTTTGACGACATTTCAACCCAAAAAGCGTCAGGCAACACTGGTAATGTACATTGTTGCCGCAGAGTTATCATGGACACGATTTTTATGTTAGTTGTGGAGAAAGCATATTTGGAGTGTTACTTATTCATCTGAAAAGAACGTTTTATAAACTGTTGGAAAAACTGTTTGAATGAACTGTGATTTGCAACTCGAATGCTGCATTAGCAAATATTGTTTCGCGTAGGGTTGTACAGAGGTTCCGTAAAATGTTTACATAAATGCGTCCTAGAGTGTAGAGTACCGAGCGCGTTTTATTTTAACGTGGTGTTTTAGTGTTGTCTAATATTGGTGTCCTGTATTTTCCCCATTACCATTAGTAGTTGTTTCTGAAAAGGAAAACCCCAACTTTGCGGACACCCTGTATATTTTAGTGCAGCTGTAATGGACATTTTTTTCAGTAACCGTGAGATGATGGACTGGATACAGAAGATTTATATTTCTATTTCTTGTGTTATAGTCACTTCATCGGTTACCGATAAAATTGTTAATATTTTTAAATGTAAAAATTAGAATCTCTTGAATATATATTGCGGCTACAGTTAAAATTTTATTACTCTTAAATTTTCCTGTGCAAGTCTCTCTAGAGGAAATTTTTATGATACACCTCAGCACTTGCTTTTGCACTAGAAAGATCCTATTGGTATGGCTACTTACGAAAAAAATTATTCCAAAATGTACAATGGATTCAAAATTCGCGTAATATACCATTTTTAGAGCCTTGAGGTCTAGGTACTTGCTTAGTACTCTTATACTATAACATGCATTGTTTAACCTTTTCTCTAGATGTTCTATATGTTTAGCCCAGGAAAGTGCTTGGTCAATATGTCTGTCAGAGGGACTTCTATTCTTTCTGCTAAGGTCATGTTTGTAGTCTCGATTTTTTTTCTTAACTTAAAAATAATCGCATTTGTTTTTGAGGTATTCAGAGATAATCCATTACGAGCAAACCACAAAAACGCTTTCTCGCAGAGGCTCAAAGTATTACCAGCTAAATGGTTGAAATCTTGGCCAGCAACTAGTACACTAGTGTCATCAGCGTATTGGATCGTGCATACATTATTTGGGCTTGTAATACTAGCACACAGATCATTCACAAAAATCAAAAAGAGGAGAGATCCTAAGACGCTACTTAGTGGAATACCTCTTTCTACCGTTAACTGTGATGAAACGGCTGATATTTCATTCTTTGTAATGAAAACTCTTTGCTTACGAACTGTCAGATAAGACTTATTCCAGTTGCAAGCTCTTCCCCTCATCCCATATGCCTCGAGTTTATTCAATAGTAGAGAATGATCCACACAATCATAAGCTTTGGAGAGATCAAAAAACAGACCCAGCAATATCATATTATTTTCAAGGCATTTCTATGATGTTGTGGCTGAAAGAATAGATCGCCGCGTTGATGGATTTCCCTTTTACAAACCCATGTTGTGACTCTGCAATTAAGTTGTTACATATCATATGATTCATAATTCTAACTCAAAAAGCTTTGCAAAACAAGAAAGTAAGCTTATTGGCCTATAATTTAGCAAGTCACTAGGATTTCCTTTTTTATATATAAGTATAATTATACCCAGTTTAAGTTTTTCAGGGAAAATACTGTACTTGAGTGAGTTGTAAGTTTTTTGCCCAGTTCTGCTAGTTCTAGAGCAGTAACATATTCTAGTGGCATACAATCTTGCACATGGTCTAAAAAGTCAGAAGAGTTATGTATTGGTGCCTGTGGTAATATTTTAATTACTTCATTAATACAGTATTCATTAAAAGCATGTGCTATAACTTCAGGATCACCTGGAATAACACAGTCATCTCTATTTTGACCTTTTATTTCCTTTACTATACTCCACACACATTTTGATTTATTATCTGACTCTTGTATATGTTTTTGATATGACTTATATTAGGCATTAGTTAACAATAGATTGTACTCTCTTCTGACTTTGTTATAGCATGGTGTATAGGAATTGTCACTGTTGCTTATAACATATAGAACATCCAGTCAGTCCCTACATTCCTTAATATTATCTGTTTCCTGAGAATGATTTGGAGCCTTTTTGTCACTTTTACTGTTTTCATGGGAAACGATTGACCAAAAATAGATTGAAATATACTACTAAAATAATTCCATTGTTTGTTTACATCATTCTGAGGAATTTGAAGTAATTTTTTTTAATACATTGTGTCTTGCTTAGATTTAAATATAAATGATTATTTGAAAACCAGATATGCAACCTAGACAATGAAACATCTATATTATCTTGTAATTGTTCCTCTGAAAAACCAGAAGCTACAACTGAGGTATCATCTGCGAATGAAGTCATCATTAATAATTTGGTTTGATCAGTATAATTACTATTAAAATCTGCTGCATAGTTACAGTTGTAGTCACCGTTCTTGGCATGTCAAAGTAAGACAACCAGTATCCCTTTATATGTCTCCATCTCCCTCATACAGACACATGCAAACTACCTCTGTGTGTGAATGTTTGTTCAGTAAGCTCAAAGACGTACGTCTTTTAGTTATGTGTCTCTGTCCCGAAAACTTTGTCATTACATATGAGTGTCCTTCAATCATATTTGTCAGAGAGAGACTTGATATCGGCGTGCAATTTGAGAAGAGAATGAAAACAACGGTCCCCTGTTACCCACTATGTGTACTGAAGAGAGTAGCAGATGCGCTGAAGATTTAGAAGAAGATTAGTCTGCACAGTGTTCCGTCCATGGTACAGAGGCTCGATGTGTTTACTTGATTGGTTTTATCAATTTTTAAGCGAAAATTTGCAAAGCGGTCGGTAATTTCCATCTTCCAAGTAGGGAATTGGGATGCTTGGGGATTGGAGTGTACCACCTTCAATTTTAATATTTTGATGCTAATAAAGTATTCCTTAGGAAATGTAGGATTCTAGTTCAAAAAATTGTTGTAACCTTGACATGAGGAAGTATTATCAAATACATACTTTAAAACAATTCCATAATCTCCATATATGTTTCTAGGTGGAAGGTGAAGAATCCTCTTCTGCAGAAGACGAAGATGAGGAAGAAGAGGAGGACACATCAGTAGGATTGGGAGCTGTATATTCAGAGAACTTGGACGAGCTGAGTGATGAGGATGATTATGTTGCTGGTGACAATGATGAAGAGGATGAAGAAGAAGATGGTGTTGATGATGAGGAGGAAGAGGAAGCAGGAGGAGCACAACAGCAAGCCAAACAACCCACAACCCAGGATGGTCAGTATTTACATTTGCTTAAATTCAAGATACATTTAAATGGTGTATTAATAAAAGCACAGAACTTGATTTACTACATGCCTTTTGAGTGACCACAAGGTTGAAAAGTGCCACTTTGTTGCAATACCAAAATTACTTCAGTTTCAGAATTTGCATGTGCAAAATACATTTATGTTCATGCAGAGAAAGTACCCAGTTAACCTACGGGACTCCATTTTTTAAAATAATGTCTTGACAACTTTGAACATTTTACCTAAATGATATGTATGTTGGTTTTAAGAAAATCTTTCGGGAATATATTTCCTTCCCTTTCTGTTTTCTCTATGAAACCAATGAGTATTAGTATAAATAATGATTAATTAGTATTAGTATAAATATTGATTAAAAAACTGTACTCTAAGAGTTATTTATGTATCTAGGGCGTACTGGGGGTGCTTATTTCCCGCAGCCTGAAATTACTGTCAAAGTCGCGAATCATTGCTGGTTCAAACACGCATTTATTTTTGCCGAAATAAAATACAAATTTTATATACATCTGGCTATGATCAAATTTGCCTTCGAGTAGAATTAAAAAATAAAAATTTAACTGACGATTCACCTTAGTACTGTAAGGTGGGGCTTAATGTCCAAAAAATGAGGCTAAATTTTGCATTAGGATCTTGTAAAGGAATATGTAACTTCTGTTTGAGCACTTGGAGTTACTGAATTAATAATTTTCATTTTGTTACATCACCCTGAAAATCTTTTTTTTTCTACTATGTTGTACCTTATATAGTCGAAATCACGAAAGATGACGATTACGTCATCATTTTAGTCTGTAGCAAAGACTAACGACAGTGATTTGTAGGAATATTTTTAATGAAGTTTCAGATATGTTAGACAGAGACAAACAGATTTTTATTGTCTAAACAAACTGTATTGCTAATTTGCATGTATCCGACAAAGGTAGACGATGTTTTCATGTTACATGATCGATCATATTCGAAAGATGAATGGTTAGGTTATGTTAAAGCAGGTTAGGTTGTTTTGGAATAATACTTTGGTCTTTGTTAATGTCTTAAGGTGTATTCTACTCATAACAGTTTTTTTAAAAAAAAACTCCCCATTAAAATTATTATTAAGGTATCACTCAAAACCATGAAATAAAATGAAAATAAAAATAACCTGTGAACTGACCTAACTTCGCAAAATCATAATATAAGTTAGTTGTTATTATGTTCCTGACATCGTGATTTTATCATCGACGTAAGTCCATTGATTACTTCAGTACAATTTATGGTATGACGTAAGAGTCATCTTTCGTGATTTTTACTATATGTTGTTTAAATTTTAGAGATAACCTACGTAAGATGATTGGTTATTCTTAAATCAATGAACATCAGATCACTTTTTGCATGGGTAACGTATTGATATTTAGGGATAATTTAAAATTCCATTCAGATAATATAATGGTTTGTAAGACACATTGCATATAATGTGGTCAATAAATGGTATGGTATGAAGGTGATTATGAAGAGAATCCAAAGGGGATTTCACTTTGTTCCTGCCTTTATGTGCCAGGGTAGGAGTATAAGAACATAGTATTGTATTTATCAGTGGTCTGTAAATTAAGTGATAAGACTGATTTTTTAATGTTTTCATTTAAATATGATCACAATTTTAAATTTTCACCCTTAAAATAACTTCCTCCTGAATCCACACAGCGCTGGAGACAGTTCTTCCACTCCTCATAGTAGTGCTGGAACTCTGATACTGGAGTAGCCTTCAACTGCAGCGGTGGCCGCAGTAGTAGACTCTTCAGTCTCCTGATCAGTCGACGTGCGCTGTGCGGGTTCGAGTCCCGTCCCAGGAGAAATTTTTCTCTTGGCTATGGATGTTGTGATTGTCCGTAGGTGGTAGACGGTCTCTGCCTGTCGAACGTGGAGGTACCACTTGGCGGATCTCGTAGGCGGAGCCAGAATGTGTGCATGTTGCATGCACACGTGTTCCCTCGCCAGGGTCCGTGTGGCGTTCCCCCTTTCCCCTGTATCCCCCTATAGCCCACGGTACCCAATGGGTGTTTAGGCCTTAGGCCTTCGTGGTAGTTGGAGTATAAAAAAAAATACTGGTCAGTTACAGACGTTTGGGTATTTTTGACTGTCCCCTTGAGGTGATTTTTCAACTTCAGGAAGAGTAAAAATGTGACAAGGACATGTCAGATGAATAAAGAGCCATAGGAATGTTTTCACTGGCCAAAAACTTGCTTATTGACATTGCTGTGTGACAAGTAACATTATCATGATGCAACACCCAGTTGTTCTTGATCTGATGAATGGTTGTGTGTGTCAAATTTAACTATTCCCCGATCATTCTGACTGTCAACGGACGATCTGAACGCACAAGATCCCGGATTCTGTCGATATTTTCATCGGATCTTGAATATGAAGGCCTTCGACTTCATGGTTCATCTTCATTCGACACTCTTCCTTCTGAAAATGCCTGAAACCACAAAAAAAAACTGGGCTTTTGACAAGACACAAGCTCTTTAGGCTTGTTTAGAAAGAGTTTCCATTGCACTAATACCACACGGTTGCTTGAAATTGATGTAACTCATTTTTAGAACACAGTAGACAAAACTGCTACCGACAACCAAATGACTCGAGCGAGTTCAAACTTGTACTGAAGGCGGATCACATGTTCCCCTGTCTCCCCTAAAATCCCGGTGCACCTAGTGTTGCTAGATCGAACGCTATGTTGCCATTTTCATTACTTAATTTACAGGCCTAGTATGTCATAAACGTACATAAATATAGTGAATGAAAAAAAATGAGCTTTCAAAACTTGATAACTATTACAACGTTGATTTGATTCATCTACAAAAGGTTATTGTGAATACACATTTTGGAATGGAGAAAAGAATACTAGAATCTCGACTAAATTGACTAGAAGCCATTTGCCGTAAGGAATGTGTCATCTCATTTGCAGATGTTGATTTCATTGACCTTTGCCTATCACGTTTTGTTTTTTTGTAGTGTATCTCGTGTGTCAGCAGGAGTGACTAATTCATTGTATTTTTTCATTTTCCAGTGTCGAGGGGTAAAAAACGAAAGCTAGAGGATGGAGGCGAAGGCGAGAATTAAGGGAGTTGGAGGGAGAAGTAGCGTGCGTGCGGCGTGTGTATAGAGAGAAAGAGAGAGTGATAAATGATTCCGATAAACTTTTCTACATGATGACCAATGAAGTGTCTCTAACACGGTGCACGGGGGCCACCACAGACCCCTGACTCACCTCTGGCTGTGGTTTCATATTTTACAAAAAAACAAAATGAAAATTTTCTAAAAAAAATTATGTACCACAACGTGACAAAAATCAGCCTGTTTGACAAAGGCGATCAAATTCTAAAATTGTGTAAAGTTTTAACAAAATTATGATGAAAAAAATGTTGAATATTTTATCTCCACGAGCACTAAAATCAACTTTTGAGGTGTGTAGTGTTTTTTAAATGAACGTAGTAGAGAGAGCAGCCAGCCATTGTTAACAAAATGTGTAATTCAGTGATGGTATAGCATTATATTTTGTACATCCCATAGGTATGTCTGGTAGAAAGTAGGAAGTTAAGATTTATGGTATTTTATGACTAAGTTATTTTTTCTTCTCCATCCTTTTTTAATCAGACACATCATGTGTTGTACTTCAACTTCAAATTAATATTTGATGCTCATTTACCTTGATACAGTAAAAATATTTGAAGAAGGTCACGGACATTACTTGAAAATTTGGTATCAGAACTACAAAAATCGCAGGATCTAACTAAGCATAGTAAGTATTGTTTGTATAAATTTTGTTTTCATGCTGCACTTTTACAGTGTATAGAGCAGGTGATTTCCAAAAATCATTCACATAAAGTTCTATCTATTGCATAATGACGCCAGTAAACTTTATATAAAACTAATAATGTTAATCTAGCAACACTCAAGTTTCACAACTTTAACCTATTTTTTTATTTTGTCGTTTCTTCCGATCATTGATTCTATGTTTCAACCTTTTTTTATGGAAACGCTCTTAGGCCACTTTGTGTCAAGGTGATATATTATGATTCTGCTTATGCAAAAAATATGAAAATTCTTCACTTTCCATGGTAAGTGATAATATTTATTGTTTCCATTAGCCAATTTGTCTATAAATTCACCAAAATTTGACAAATATCAGCTTAACAAACCACCTATCACTATTATATCAGTTATAAGTCTAGAACACATAAGTTGAATTGTAATTTATTTCCCGAATAGCTCCTTATTCATTACTAATTTACACGGGAGTGGTAATAGGTCCCATGTAATCCCCCATTCTTGGCTGGCCAATAAAACTACATGTGTTGACATAATCTTATTTACTGTACGTTTCAGTCTTTGGGTACAGTGACAATATCTCTTATTTATGTCCTCCAGGTGACAGTTTGTTTTTTCTTTTCATTATCACGTTCCTACACAGTGTGTTAGTACAATGGACTGAAAGTCCGGTAACATGCTGAGATTGCGCGAAGTCATCGTTCCGAATTTTAAGATGGCACCACGCAAAACCAGCATAGCCCAGAAAACCGCCTGGAGTAGACATTCCCGTTCTAAAAAAAATGATGCCCAGTCCTCCAAAACGAAAAGCGAGCATGAGGATATCTGTAGCTTTTTAATGTACGAGACACTTCACCCTCGTCCATCGTCCCGAAAACGCCAAAAACCCTGCAAAAGACGCGAACACCCACCCAGAACTGTTGGGAACGGGAAACAAACGAACTGTCACCTTGAATAACAGGTAAATGAATTATATTTTCATTGTACTAAAGATCACCTTTGTGATTAAAACGTTTACAGTAAAGAAGATTATGTCAATACATGTGGTTTTATTGGCCAGATAAGCATGGTAGATTATCGACAAACAAACCACGACAATGGCAACACGTTCATCTATCAGCAATTTACAACTCCAACAGACATGTCATACTGAAACCTTGTGAATCATAAACATTGCCACACATACGGTGAAGTAATGTCGGTGATCTTATTTTTATCAAAAAAGCATTTTTTGCTGTGTTGACGTATTTTGTAATCTTATATGACAAGACGTCATATTAGACAAAAATTATACAAATTATTTACGAAGTGCAAGTATTACAGCACTTTTATACATACCTATTTTAAGGTATTTTGCGTAATCCAAAATACACTATGTACAGTGAATGATGAACTGACACCATTTGAAGTATCGAAAATTAGCGAGTCATTTTTGGCATATAATTTTCTCATATGTATAAGTTCTCGTTTTTGCTAATTTCCTTGCAACAATATCTCGGGAAAATGTCATTAATAGGTGACATCAATGTGACGTCATTTGATAACAACTGTAGAATCAGACAAAAAATCCCCAAGTAGCTGCTATTTCTTTGGTGAATAAAATGAAATTTTTTGTTGATGCGATTTCGTTGTAGACAATTTTTACCGAGTACAGCTATATTCACACTTCCATAACTGACGATTTTTCGTTATTGTTATATCTATACTAGAATCAACGAGTAGTTATCAAGAGAAGACCTTGGGTGTCATCTGCATTATAGTAGGTAAGCTGATCGTAATTTTTTGTTCCATCATCTCGTACTGATGTGACACGATAAAAACTAGTTACATCGTAACGTATTTTGATGCTAAACAGCAAGATTGACGGGTTTATTGTTTAACATAAAATACGATTTGACTAGTTTTTAACACTCCATATAAGAACGTGATGTAACCAAAACCTTGCGGTCGGCTCTTGCACTGTTACTGGTTTACAAATTAAAAGTCATTCGAAATGAATAAACATATCTTAAGACTAAGCTGTCTAGATAACTCGCGACCATATCATATAGACGAACGATTGGTCAAATAAGCAATTCGACTTAGAACATGTTTGAACTACAAGCTGACGTATTTCTTTTATCACTAAGCTAAGTCGTGTAGTATTCCACGTTGGGGCCTAAAAGTTAAATATGAAGCTATGTTAATTTATTTCGTAGGAAGCGTCCACTGCAAGTGAATAATGGTCAATGAGTCTATCCAAAAATGATTATCTATCTGGCAACAACACATATATTCCCGACTACCTGAGAACAGCCGTGTTTAGACATCAGCTGTGTTGTGGCAGCCATGTTTCTGGAGTCATCTCTTACATCTCTCCAATTTTATTCGCCTTGTCTGTCTTCTCTTTACATAACTACTCTTTGGTAGAATCTTACTAACCAAACATAACCAGCTGATTCGCAGTAGATATTTCAATGTTGACAATTGGTGTGGCAACTGATTTCGGGTCATTTGTCAATAAAAATTTCCCTTAACTCTACACAATGAATCCTAGATTGCTCCCACGATTAGAAGCGTCTTGGTAATTCTGTGAATTTAACCGATTCAGCACCCCGGTTACAGCTTCTTTGACTTTTTTTACTCCCCCATGATGATTTCCCATGAGGTGATATCTTATGGAAAAGACAAAGTCTTAGGGGACAATATACAATATCGGGGTTATTCGCTGGGTGCGCGATGTCAGCACTACCTAGCGTATGTCGGGAAAAATGTTTGTTCTTGACATGTGCAATATAAAAGTAAACGGATATCAATGAAAATAAAATTTAGTTGGTTTGAGGTTGATCTGACAAATGATAGCGAAATATTTGCCCCATTGCCAGGCTTCAGTTGACCCCACTGACACAACTTTTACCCTAGAGACCACGCCTATATTCCACTGTCAGACCGACTTTGTTGCCCATTTTGCCGACCGCGTGTGCGGCGATCGATTTATTTCCCCGCACTATGCACTTCACCCCTTTTTTGTTTTTTTGCATACGATGCAACTTGCACCAACGGCCCTGTCAGTCTTTCGTACAGTATTGAACTCGTGGTCTCAAAACAAATCAAGATGCAATTCACCCTGAAGATGCTTGCAATATAAAACCTTGTAAACATTGCATTTCTATAAATACGTTCTCACGAAGCCAACACCCGCAGGGGTATTACGTAACTTGAAAAGTGTCGTTTCTTAACATATCGTTTTTTATGACATGTAGGTTTACTTACAAGATGCCAACTGTAGTAGGCGCGGAATGAACTATTTGCACACTAGCAGCTACCAAGTTGACATTTTGTCGGTGTTTACGTAATAACCCTGCCGTATCACGTAACATGAAAAGTGACATATCACTTGAGCTATATCGTTTGGCTCTGATGTGATGCAACATCTGCTTCAGAGATGGCACTAGCGTAGGCCATTTATAGTTTGGCTTAAGCTGTAAATTCTATACTATAGGTCATTGTTGCATAACCTCCTTAGGTACAAGTACGCGTGGCGTAGACTAGCGACTACCTAGTACACAAGTTGACATGCCGATTTCTAACGAAATTGTATCGATTTATTCCGTATAACCCCTCCAATATTCATAAAATGCTCTAACTACTGTAGCTTCATGTTTCAACTGGTAATTGCGAATTGCAGGTTTTTCCTGACTACTAAAGTGAACCATGGTAATTTGACAGTACTAACTACTGACAATCATGACAAGTTACTTATTTTTTTCATGTGAAACCAACCCTAAAATTTCAAAGCCTGGTAAAATTTATTCGCTAAAAAGTTTTGGCAATATTTGTTTTATAATTATTCTTAACCGGTCAAGAAATCAATAAGTATGGAACCAGAGAAGCACATAACAATTGACCACAAAACCAGCTGAACTCTACTAAAAAGCCAACTTGCCACATTACATATATGAAAAAAGGCAATTTAATTCATTTAGAAAATGTTTATTTTTATCTAAAATTGATATTTGTATTATATTCTAACCAACGGGCTTTGATAAAATGAAATTATTTCAATTGAGCTTTCCCGGCGTTGTATGAGGAAAAAATAACCTTACAAAATGAGCCCTCCCCTGTTCTCTGTAACTAACGAAGCTTCTTATTTAGATAACGGAGAACGAATGATTTTCTCGCAACTGCGCAAAATCGAAATAAGGAAGATCATATAACGGAGCAAAACAAGATCACTAAAAACTCTATGCTTGAATTTGATAGGATCACTCATGTAAATGCTGTGTGCCGATCTATTTATCGTTGGATGAACACAAGCTCTCGTTTTTTTTTTTCTTATTTCGCAGTAACGCTATAAACGCATGTCCATCGTCATGAAACATGTACATTACTACTGTCGTATTTAATGACGGAGGAGTTTTATATATGGTTTTCTGAAAACGATTCCATGATAGGGTTTTGTTCTCTTCTTCTCGTTCTATAACTTAGTCATGTTGCAGCCAACGTGTTCACGCCCGATTTTTCGATTATGTGCAGAAAAACATGAATAGCGGGTAACACCGATGTTCCGGCCTTTGAAATATCGGTATGGCAAAAATTCTGTAACCGTTGATCTTTAATCTTTGTAAAAACATGTTCAAATTCCCGCCTTGCGAACGATTTCTTTGTTGATTTGTAAAAATGCACGCATAAAATATGAAGCTCGGTCCGAAAATATAAGGAAGGGGTTCCCCATCTCTAGACAGAAATTAATTTTTAATTGCAAAGTTATCGCAAAATTCTCGAAAATTAATTGCCACACCATGTAGGATGAACAGGGCCAACTTAATTTTCTGTAAATAGTGTATAAACGACATTTTCAATTGTTATCCTTTCCTGCAGATTACATACGTGAAAATGATGTTTTGACCCTTTTTTGTTTTTTGTAGTATACAACAAATTATTTTGTGTAATTGTTTTTCGTTAGGTGATACGGAAGGTCGCCCATAACTTGAAGTAATACTTGTACAATTTTTATGTGTATATATTCTGCTCAACAAAGATGGGTGTAACCGTAGTATGTTGTATTTTTTATATTTAATTTGGTAACACGGTTTCCTGGCAAGTTTTGTCGAGCAGCGTATATTTCGGGCAGGAGTTGATGTTAGCAATCAGGTTGTTAATTATATCATTCATTAAAATCGTCCCTCTTTAATTGATTTCAGTTTATCATTATTTGCACATGTTTTATATTCTTAATAAGTTATAAATATATATATTATAGGGTATGAAACTTTATTCCACTTCCCACTTCTCCCTTTTGAGTTACAAATATTGCGTGGTTCCTAAGTGAATCTCAAGATTTAGGGGTGCAATTTTCCATTTTAAGAAGAAAGCTTTATATGAACGTATGACGTAAACGTCTTTTGAGATACAGGGTTTTCAAAAATAAATTAATTTATTGTCTGTAATACCAATTTAGATATTTTAATGAAATTTGGGATACATGTATTATGTATCCAGGTGCACTTTTTAATGTACCACATTATTTTTTTTTTAGTTTCCTCTAGTGGAGTTCGTATGGAATTTCACCTGCCCATTTTGGGCCACTGATTTCTCATAAAATGAAGATTATCCTTGAAATCTCCAGTCATTTCTAAGAAAATTTGATAGCTTGATTTTTTCAATCGGATGCACGGTTTTCGCTTAAAAAATAATGTTTTATCTACAATATCGTTAATATGACAATATCACCATGCAGAGAAATAGATTTCATTCTTTAGGTGAAAACATGTGTCGGACTAAAAAGATTCAAGAGAACAACTCTACTTATAAATGAATACAGATTTTATTTCAAGAAAAGTCAGTAGCGTGCCTGTGACTCTATTATAATATTTGGGACTATGTGGGTTGGCAAAATATCGAGTCTTCAGTTACGACTCGTTGACCACAGCTACAGGATGTAAATTATAAATTATTTTGTTAAAAGACTGTTCTTTTTTAAATATTTTTTACACCTTTAATGAAATATCTTTCTTCAATCAATAAACGATTCCCATAAAAAAACAATGCCTACTATTAATAATTTTAACAAAATTATAAATCTGTTAAAACATTAATGACAACCTTAGTGAAGAAAATGTAGAACATGGAAACTAGATAGGTTAAAAATGATCTATACCGTGACTGTTACGCGCTTGATCTCTTTTCCTCACACTTTGAACTATACCTCCAGTTCGTCTTTTTAAATCGCAGGCAGTTCCTATAACACCCCTCAGCTCGGCAAGGGTGTATTGGGGTGCGGTACACTACATAAACTTTTAGGATGCCCCATAACAAAAAGTCCATCTATTGAAATCTGTGGACCTAGGGGCTATAAGCTATAAGACCACCCATCAGTTATTGAATTTGTGTTTTAAAAATTGTCTTGAGCGGGTACGCCGTCATGCATAACTACATTCTGTTTCTAATTAAAATTAGTACTTCTAGCAATATGGGCAAATCCTCCGATAATTATGGCGATTTAGCGTTTGTAACAGGAAAAAGGACCAATTAAGTAATTTCCAACAAGGCATTTACCGAAAATACTTCCTGATGATTATATTCTACAATTGTGTGGTGGTTGTGGAAATTTCTCATTGCGTTTCTGGAAAAGTTAGCTTCATCTGCAAAGCATTATTCCACGCTCAAACAAGGGATTATGCGCAATTTTCTCCAAAAACAGTTAACATAAAAAATGCATTTTTAAAAACAAGCTCTTATTTAGTTGTCAGTAAAATGATTCAAACATATTTTTTCAGGTTGGAAATATTCAAACGACAATAACGCTCTTTCATTTCAAGTGTTCAAATATAAAACGACACGCTTTATTTACACCCTTCTTCCAACCTACCGTCAAATAGTAACACGCGTTCATTTGAAAACTTGAAGGAGCTTCATTAACGGTTAAATATTTCCAATAGGAAGAAACTGTTTTTAAGTTTTTAGTTCATTTTAACAGCTAAATAAAAAGTTGTTCCTAAATATCATTATTTTTTAATTTTATTTGTATTTCACTTTTTAGTATTTACGATGTCAAATAACTAGTTTGTAAATTTCTATACAGGGTGTCCGCAAAGTTGGGGTTTTCCTTTAAACGACGTGTAGATCTTGAGAAAATAAGCGGATTTTCTTAGTAGCATATACACCAATGTCTTAGCCGAGATATTGGGCTCCGCAAACTCAATCAAATCTGAATCAGACTGAAGCCGGTCCTGTCCTATCCCTCGATCAGGTCCACAGCGCCAGCGTACAGTTATATGACGCACGACTTCGATGTAAATACGGATTTTACGACAGAGCCGTAATTTCAATTCAACTGAACTTGTTCGCTCATATTTCACCACACATTAGCTTTGTTATATGAAGCGTAGTTGTGTCTGAAAAGGACCACCCCAACTTTGCGGACACCCTATATCTTTCATATATTTCATTATCATTATTCTATAAAACTTCTTACTTTGTATTACAAAATTTTGATTGATATAAATTATATAACGATAAACCTACACTTTGCAGCGATTACCATATGGAATTTAGAATGACGTTATTTGCTTGCGTTTCCTTCATTGAGCCCTTTTATTTGATGCCTATAGAATAGGGGTGACTATGGAATCTGTGGATCGCCATTTTGACGTCAAGCTTGTTATGTTTCTCCCTTAAAGTCCTTTGATGTGATGCCTATATAATTGGGGTAACTATGGTAATTATAAACGCCATTTTGGGGCGGAAGCTAAATTGGATTCAGCATGACGTCACTTTGCTTATTGTGTTTTTCTTATCAAGCCTTTTTCATTTGATAACCATGTCATAGAGGCAACTGTGAAAAATACAAATCGCCATTTTGCGGCGGTACAGTTTAATGCTTCCAAAGCACAGTACTGTGCCTTAACTATTGAGAAGCGCCCTAGCGCTCATCCAGTTTCGATGGATGGTCTAGTTCTATCAAAGAGCCGTTCATTTCGGCTGGTCGGAGTCCAGATGACCGAACACTTGAGCTGGCAGGAACACATCTTGGCAATAACGGCAGCTGCTGGGAAAAAGCTAGGCTATTTGTTTAGCGCTATGAAGCACTTTTCTCCACATGACCTGTCTGTACAAGGCCCAGATAATGCCTATTCTCGAATACTGCTCACATGCTGGATGCTGCTCAGAGAACAATTGTCTGCCTAATCGATAACTATTATCTAACGGACAGTATCGGGACCCTTTCGCACCGACAAACCGTCGGCGATCTAGCTCTTCTACCGCTAAGTCACCTGGATTTGCTCTTTAGAGCTTTCCTCCATGATGCCGCCGTGCAATGTGCCGTGAGCCGTCTGACTTCGGCCTCCCATCTTAACCATGTCGAACTGGCCGATATGAGCCCTCGTTTGTCGAGATTGTGGAACTATCTACCTGAGGATTACCAGTAGAACCAGGACTATCCTACGGTTTTAGGCAAATCGGATTAACAGTTTCCTTAAGCTTCGATATAAAAAAATCCATAAAATTAAATGTCCGAGTTACAAAAACGACTATAAACCTAAAAAAAAAAAAACACTCAGCTATTAAAATTTCCATTTTGTCGATGTGCCCATTGTGATAGAAATGTCATTGTTTTTCGCCGTACTAACATCTAGTCTTCAGTTATCGTAAGTCAGCGGAAGTAAATCAAAATATACGTAGTATGATCAAATTTTGACCGTACGTCACCAGTTTAGTATATTCGTATCTGTTTCTTCAGGTTCATACGTCCTTTCCCAACGTATAATTCCTATAAATCAAAATACACATTAAATATATCGTCAATTTTATTACGAAACTGTTCAAACTTCTAGACTTACAGTATAGAAAATTACATTAATATTGAGTAAATAATCCAGTTCCCATTTTTTTGTACTTGTATGGCCTTCTTCTGTTTCTTCCACTGCAAAGAAAGATATACCGATATTAAAAAATAATCAGATTTAAGCCAATATTCCAACATTCGTATACATCTATCACAGAACCTGCCAACAGAAGGCGAAAGGCAAACAGAGTGCTCCCTGCTCTACGATCAACTGAGGCGATCAGCGTTCTCGAAAGTTAGCACTATAAAATCATAAAAATTCGCCTTATCATACAAAGTGAAATACTGCATGAAAGCTTGTTAAATATGTCACTCACCAACTGCTCCATATAAATGAAGTCTTCTGAGAAAACTTAGCTGGAAACGTCGTTTCCAAGAACATATCAAGACAGGCACACAAATTAGTCACTTGAGCGGCTAGCAGCCATGAAGATTCTTTACCACTTGTAATAGCCCATGATGTGTTTATGGTCCTTTCAATATCCTACAACAATTAATATCAAGTTAATTTCAAAGTCGTTTTAATAGGAATATAGAGTGGGGGCAAAGCGAAGGATAAGCGCGTTAGCTGTTCGTGTCTGTACAATAAATATAATAATAATAATAGCATTTATTTGAAAAAATACAAAGAGAAAAAAATGAGAGTTAAAAAAACAACATGAATTCCCTGCAAAAGCGACTAGTAAACAAAGTATCTGATCGAAGTACTAGCCCGACAAACAAAATAACAACAGAGGAGTTCTTAACCAAATTATATAATTTAATAATAAAAATAATAATTACAAGCGTTAAAAAAAATATAAAAAGAAATTATATAAAAAATATAATTTAACGAAAAAGGTCCATCATTTTAGACAGATTTAACAGAAAAACATACTCATACATTTACAAGCTCATATACAGGGTGTAAAGTTAGTAAAGGATCAACGGAAGTCAGGTGATAGAGGCACTCAAAACCTATAGAATTTAGCCAAATTTCGAAAAAAACAGGATAATGAACTTTCAATCGCAATTAAACTAAACCATTAGATTTAGGGCTGTGCTTTTTTCTGAGATGAGCTAAATGGTTAGTTTTAGAATAGTTATGTCACGTTTCAACAGCTTATTAGAATTCAACGCAAAAAATCTTAAATTCATTTTATGTGAAAAATCTCTTCCATCCCTCAACTTTGGAGGGCGATAAAAAAGATTGAGGTTGTATTTCATTATTCATTTTATTGTAGAAACTATTTCAATCAATGTAGAATAAACCCTGAACATTTCAGCTTGCTACGAAGAATGTATCATGTCACATTTGTTGTTGTGAGGCGATAAACGTAAGGCCGCATACAGACATCGCAAGGCTCGCACTGAGGTGATCGTATGACGCATATGCTCACTGTAAGAAATGGAAAAGAATCTTTACCACCTACAAGTACAGAACCTATTGTGTTTAGCCGCTCTTTATGTTGCTTTACCGACAAATGTGGAAAACATATAATCAAAAATTTAACTATCTTTTGAAGAACATGTTCGAAATGGCCTCCATTATTTTCTGTACACAAGCGACACCTTCTAATAAAATTGTCCTTTAGTCTTTGAAATGAATTTGCGTTTTTCATAATTTTTATTTTTGCTTAATCAATTTTCTGGCGCAGTTGGTTGATATTTGTATATTCAGATGTACAGATTATCCCTTTATAAACCTCTATATAAACAAATCTAGAGGATTTAAATCGGGTGACCTTGGAGGCCATTTTATGTGTCCACCTCTACCTATACAACGCACAGGAAAGGCACTGTCTAAGTAATGTCGTACATCGCGTGCAAAGTGGCACGGGGCACCATCGCATTGAAAATACATGCGGCTTCGAACGTCCAAAGGTACATCCTCTAGCAGCTCATGCAAACTGCTTTGTAGAACAGCAGGATATGACTGGACATTCACCCTGACGGGCAATTCATATGGTCCAATTAATTTTTTGTTGAGTACTCCAGCCCATAAATTAACGCCGAACTGACGTTGAAAGCTGTGTCGGCGAATAGCGTGTGGATTTTCCACGCTCCATGAATGGAAATTGTGCATGTTGAATATTCCATTTCAGTCAAAGTTGGATTCATCTGTCCATAAGATGCTGTCGAAAAAAGTTTCATCCTCTTCGCACCTTCTCAACATATTCTCACAAAATTCAACTCGTGCTTAGTCGCTAGGAAGCAATACTTGTACTTTTGGTACATGGCAAGGATGCATGTTCTCCGAGCGTAGTATTGTGTGCACTGAAGTATGGGATATGTTTCAGCTTCGGGCAATGGCTCTGGTGCTTATAGAGGGATCTCTCTCGGCTGCTTCTATTTCCTCTGGGCGTATCCTCAGCGCTTTCAACTGCCTATGAGTGCCTAGTATGCGGCCCTCCATATACGCATTATAGACGCGTAGAAAAACGCGGCAGTCGGGATATACCGCCGGTTGTGGTCCACCTCTTCTAACCACATACTCTCCTACATGCGAGCAGCTGCTCGAGCATTTCCTAGGGCAGCACCATAATAGTAATGCATTTCTGCATAATCTCGCGAGAATATGACATGATTCTACTCAGATGCCAAACGTTAGAGACAAATTCCGCGCTGGACCATTGCCTGACTTAGTAATTTCGGTCGGAATTGAATACCCAAGCTCAATAAGCTGATTTGGCTATTTGCGTAAAAAATCCGCCATTTTGATTTTACAAAATGTTAAGACAAACAGTATCACTCGCACTGCTAGGACGAATCTAACAGTACCTCATATATCAAAATCCATCAAGTCGTTTGGATTGTAGCTCGTAAAATATAATTTCTTGCTTACATGTACTCGTATAGATACGTACCTGCGTCAAACACAGATTTTTTAAGGTGAGGCACTTATCGAAGCAAGCTGAAATATTCAGAGTTTATTCTATATGGATTGAATTAGTTTTTACAACAAAATGAATAATAAAATGCAACCTCAATTTTTTTTACCGTCCTCCAAAGTTGAGGGATGGAAGAGATTTTTCACAATAAGATTAATTTAAGATTTTTTGCATTGATTTCTAATTAGCTCTGTTAAAAAGTGACATAACCATTGCTAAAACTAACCATTTAACTCATCAAAAAAAATCACAGCTCGAAACCTAATTTTTTAGTTGTAATTGCTATTGAAAGTTCATTATCCCGTTTTTCTTTAAATTTCTATCATCTGACTTCCGTTGATCCACTACTAACTCTACACCCTGTATACACATAAACAATGTAAAAAGGAACAATATAAAGTAAACACAACAATTCATCTAATAGAAAGTTTCTGTAACTTCTTTTGAAAGCTGACACAGACCTAGACTTAAGGTTTGTGGGGACGTGATTGTACAAGTGATAGATAAAATGAGAAAATGATCTATTAAACATAGATGTACGATTAGGCAATAGCATGTACAGGCGCCTGCACCGTATCAAGGAAATGTTCGATACTGTTAAAAAATGCATCGAACTTGTATCATTCCTCAAAGGCAAAAATCATTATCACTTGGAATGGATATAGATCAGACCATAGCACGCCAGGAATAGAATACGTGTATAGATGCATGCGCACCTTCAGGGGGCAACGGGGGACCGTTTCATCCATGAGAATGCGGTCGCCTAATGAACTTTGATTTGTCATATCCCCGTTATTCAAATAGTTTTGAGCTGATACAAATATTCGTGTTGCCGTTGTCGGACCGTTTTTTGCTCTTCAACACATTTTGGGCTAATACATACTAGCCTTTCCCACTGCCATTGTATGCCCCGTTGGGAAACTACTTTAATGAATATCTATTCTTGAAGTATTCCAATTTCTGGAAGCAAGTATCCTCTTTGAATTTACAGGGTGTCCCAGAAGTTGACGTCAAGGCTCAAATGGGGGATAATATAATAATATAATAGTTATCAGAAAAATATAAAAAAATCTAATTCTGGTACTCTCAAATTATAGGCTTTAAAAAATTGGAATAATCTACAACCTGTGATGATCTTGTAGTTCTTATTACTACATATTTCAAAATTTTCTTAGACGGGGTGACGGACAGTGTCATTCTACGTAGTGACGGCAAGACAGATAGTAACGCCACTTTTATTAATTCGTGGATGTACACCTATTTATTAAATTCACAATAAGTGTTCAAACTGCTTTCCTTCAGCAGCAATGCAAGCTTGACGTTATTAACAAATTCAGCTGCTTCTGTTATTCTGTACCGTAGCTCGTCTAAATTTTCAATTGGCTTTAAGTAAACTTTTACTTTCACCGCTCCCCAGTAAGAAAAATCGAGTGGATTTGTCAGGTGAACGAGTTGGCCACTAAATTGTACCAGACCGCCCATCCATTTGCTCGGGTATTCCGCATCAAGAGATTCTCTAACTGAACGGGCATAGTGCGCCGAGAAGCCCTCTTGCTGGAATCACATGTCCCTGTAAATGCTTAGTGGCACGTCTTCCGAAAAAAATTAGTAAATGATTTTGTAGAGTCTAAATAAATTTCGCCAATCAAGAACTCTGACAGCTCAAAGGGCACAATGATTCTCCCATTCAGAATCTCGGTCCATATGTCTACTTTAAAACGATACTGTGATCTATCTTGCCTCATCAAATGTAGATTTTTTAGATGCCACCTTATTTAACTGTAGACTCATCAGTCCGTAAAATTTTTGATTCTGTGATGTTTTATGTAGTAGCTTGACTTATTTCGAGTATCATATGAATTAATTTCTTTTTGGATTGTAAATGAAGTAATAATAAATGTAAGTACAAGGCAAAGCCATAATATTTAGTATTATAAATTCTTCTCTTCAGGGATATCTGTACTTCAGGCACCTGAGGCCGTATCGTCAGTCGTTCCTACAAACTGTAGGACGTCTTTATGGCCTCCTTGATTTTTATAGTATTTTCTCTCCTTCAGAGAGGCTTGGGTGTTTCTAGATTCCTATTGTTCCGTGTCAGCATCAGCGCCCTCCTGTTGTAAGGTTATGTTTCCTTTTTGAATATTAGGGAATTTCAACATGAACAACTGCTAGGATAGCATATTATGTCATTTTACTATGAAAATATGCGTGCTAATTGGATAACAAGATTTTTTCGGTTGCAGAACTTCTAAGATTACGAATTAAATAAATAAAGTTTGTTGATTTGCTGACATAATTAATATACGGTGGAATCCACTTATAACGAACTTGCTTATAATGGACACAATTTAAGGTCCTATAAATAATTGCATGTAAAATCCTCGGATATTATACACTCGCTTAAAATAGACCCTCGCTTACAGCGGACTATTTTAATCCGTTATATGCGAGCTGTTTTGGTAGGTCCCCGAAGCAGATATAGCTGATGCAATCGTTTACGGCGGTTTGGCTTCGCAGTTGCCTTCAAACTTGACCACCAGTGTTATACTGTACATGTCAAAAAGTGCGAAACGTGCATTCAAGTTACACGAAAAGTTCACAATAAGTGAGCTTGAGCAGGGTTCATCTCAAGCAAATATATGTGCTCGTGTGGCTATAAAAAAATCCACTGTGTCAAATATTTGGAAAAACCGTGACAAAACTAAAAGTGACTGGAAATCAAATAGTCAAAAGAAAAAAATGCGGCTATCGCTGCATCCCCAAGTCGATGATATGCTGTTTAAATGGTTTCAACAAAAGCGTGCTAATAATTTTCCAATAAGTGGACCTATGCTACAAATAAAGGCTGAAGAATTTGGGAAATGGATTGGAGATTACCTCAAATGTAGTTTTGGTTGGCTAGGCAGGTTTAAGAAAAGACATAACATTGTTTTTGGTGAAATGTGTGGTTAGTCAGCTTCAGTTGACAAGAACCTTTCCAGTGACTGGATTTCTCAAGTTTGGCCCGTAATATCCAGTGATTATTCAGCTGATAACATATCCAATGCAAATGAAACCGGGATATTTTATAGAATGCTACCAGATAAAACTCATAAATTGAAAGGTGAGACTTGCAATGGAGGGAAACTATCAAAAGAGCGAATACCTTTTATGATTTGTGCTAATGCTTCTGCTACTGAAAAACGGAAACTATTGATAATAGGTAAGTGAATGAATAGAAATTCATGTTCTAATTTGTTTGATATTCAATGGCAGTGCTGCAAATAATTTATAACCTGTTTTTTATTTCAGGGAAATTTAAGAACCCCAGGTGTTTCAAAAATGCTAAAACAATTCCTGTCGATTATGTTGGAAAAAATAAAGCTTGGATGACTTCATCAATTTTTGAAGTATATTTTAAAAAGTGGGATGCTGAGCTTGTTAAGAAAAATCGTAAAGTTTTGCTCTTAGTCGATAACATCCAAATATTTCGCTTAATAACACCAACATTCAATTTTTTCCACCCAATGTGACATCAGTTCTGCAACCAATGGACCAGGGTGGAATTTGGAGTCTTAAACATATGTTGATGAAAATTATGGAGCTTCAAGAAGATGTCAACATTACCAAAGCTGTCACCATTTTAGATGCTCTAAATTTGCTTATTATTGCATGGGAATTGGTTACTCCAGAAACGATTCGTAATTGTTTTCGCCATGCTGGTTTAGTGAAAAATATAACTGAAATAGTCAACGATTTGAAGAAGATGAAATTCAATTAAGTGATTTACTGAAAATTAAAATTTTACTGAATATAGACAAATTTAATGAGTATGTAAATGTTGACAATAATTTAATAGCAACACAGGAATTGTCAGACTCCAATTTGGTTAATGAGGGATCCATTGATAACGAACAGGAAGACGAACTAGAAAAGAACGATGAAGAAGAGCTTCCAGTGACGACTAAGGAGGAATCAGACTGCGTGAGAAAGTTTAACGTTATTTTCAGCTAGAAGAAGACAGTACAGCCACACTTACCGAATTAAATAAAATTCAACTTGCTGTTCTAAATAATTATACAAAAAAACAATCTGTTCAAATGAAACTTACTAGCTTGTTTACCAAATAGTCTACGGTTTTTACACATCCCTACACAGTACGTATGCCTGTAATATGTGTATCAGATTCTGAAAAAATGCAAATTTCAAAATTACGTATAACTTTTTTGTATGTAAGTTATTTATGTAATATATGTTAAACAAACACATTTTAAGCTTTTAATATGTTTTTTCTTAAGCTTTTTTCATTAAAAAAAAGTGTTTCTTTTAAGAAGGTCATCCGCCTATAATAGACTATTGGTCACAGTCCCGCTGAGTCCATTATAAGCGGGTTGCACTGTATAAAATATGGTTTAAAGTAGCATTTATGTATAAACCAAGAAACTTGACTGCCTCCACATGGTTATTACCAACATCATGATTCCGTAATCGATTGAGTTTTGGTTGAATTTAACGTTAATTTATTGATTGCAAACTATTCAAGAACGTCGGACTTACAAGTAGATTCAACTAAATGTCTGCCTTTTCCATTAATATCCGTTTATTTTTATACTGCATGTCTGAACGTGCGCTACCACCGCACACCCAGCGAATACATAGTGCAGTTTACTCTAGAATACTCGTCCATATACACCATTTGGGTAAATCTTTATGATTAGAAAAACATTCGTTCTAGCCTCTTTATCGTAAATCCATACTTCTTACCCGTATATCTTCACAATTTAGGAAATGATGCTTTTTCTTTTCATAGTTGACTGACAGTGCGAATAGCGGTGGAACTACAGGATAGTTTTTCCTGATCACCACAAATGCGTCCAGTACAGCTGAAATGATAATAAATAATTTTGAAATCAGATTCAGAGCTACTTTTCAGTAGTTCTCTGAGACTGACATCAAATATCAACATGGATACATGTTACTGCTGGCACACACGGGGACACGTTGAAGCGCTATAAATCAAACGCGCGTGCTGATCACACAGGACGTGTTTCGGCGCGCATCGACTAGTGATGTCAAATTGTAGAGGTTGCAGTCATAGGTCGTTGAAACTGGAAGTTCAAAAATTTATGGAAAACGAATAGTAGAAGTAGTATGATATTAGTATTATGGTGAGTGAAATGCGAGGAATGAAAAAAACCCATGCTGTTTATTTGTACATTTATATCGTTTTCTTAAATATACAGTATTATACTCAAATAGTTGTCACCTGTTCAACTTCCTTATTTCCTTGATCATCATAAGGCTTTTATTTTCATATGCCATTGATGTTAAGCTTATAAGACGTATTTGCAACCTATTTTGCTTTGAGATTGAGATACGTGCATAGTCTGGTGCGACTGTTTGAGACTCCGCGAGTCGGCGCATAATGACACATACCGCCACGGACGATTACATTTCGTATCGAGTAGTCACTAGTAATCACAGGTGAAAACTAACTATTGTGTATAAAATTTTGTAATCGGTTACTTCGGAGTATCGATTACTGAGTAATGGATAAGTACAATATTGCCATCACTAGCATCGACAAGTCCTGAGGAGAGTTCGGCATGAGACGGGCATCACCTAAACTGTAGCGATGCAATCGCGCATCGATAGAGTATGAACTGTTCCGTCTACATCACTGTAATGCAAAACGCGCGTATTTTAGCAGCGCGACAACTTGTCGCCCGTGGGTACTGACAGTTGAGTTCCAGATCAGAAATATTTGAAATAGATGCACAAAAATAAAAGAGATAATTACTGGGTAACTTCAGGATAGTTTGGCCCTATTGTAACAAGGTTCGCAATGCAGCTGAAACAGTAGTTTAGTATAGAAACTAATTCGAGCAAAGCGATAAGAATAAAATATAAGTTGTGAGACAATAATAGGTAAAATTACAGAAGTTACATAGAAGTTGAACGTTTATTACTCCATACTAACCATTATCTCTAGACACCCTCAAAGAATAAAACATATCACTTGATGACACAAGTTCTTCTTCAAGTTGATGTTGCGTAAACTCAGCTTGACAAAACTGATGATATGTAGCAGATGACCATTTAGATGGAAAAGATCCTACGATTGGCGGAAGATCAAGGGATGTTGGCACTTCCGATACCTTGTTTTGTTCTGTAAAATCATGAAAAACATTGGTCGATCTGCGATAGACAATGTTAAACACTTGCTTTGTATATGGCGCATGTTTAAGAAATATATTTACTTCGGCAGTATGTTCCACTTCAAGCTTGGGAGAAATTCATATCAATTGTATCCATGTCATCTGTTTAAAACATTGTGTTCTAGTTCAACAATTCACATTTATAGTTACCTAACATTTGCATCTGCTTGGCCAAGTCATATCTCGCTTTTAGGGACTTGAAAAGCGATTTCACCACAGTTTCGACATTAGAGTTGGCTATCTTACTGTCATTTGTCTGAAAACAGAAAATCAGTTCAAACAAATGAATGAATGTGAATGACTATTGCATCTACACAGCATTACTTGAGCATATATTTTAAACATTACATAGCTGATGCAGAACTTGTTAGTTTTGGCGTTTGACTTTAGATGTAGTTAGATTCATTTATTGGTACAGTTAGATCTATATTTTAGACATTGTATAAGTCGGAATATACAGATTAATATAGATAAAAAGAATTATAATACAACAAACAATAAAAACAAAATAAAAAAAACAATATCATACATACATGGCAATTTACTTATTAAGATCTACCAGAAGCGTTGTGGTGTGACAAATTTAACCAAGTCATACAAAGCACAATCCGATAGCCTGTATTTTGAAAAGCCCTATGGAATTTATGTTTTTAATCTCTGGAGGTAGTAATTTAAAAAAAAAATTCGCTGTTGAGATTTTGAATGAAGTGTATGACAAGACACAAACCTAAGAGTATTATTTTTATTACGAGCGCTGTAGTCATGGAGATCGGTATGTTTAAGATAATCATTTCTGTGCTGAAAAATATACTTTAAAAGATTGTAATGATAAATAATGTATATATATATATATGATGATTCTTTTTTGTAAAACAAACACTCTATAGATTTCACTAGCCTGACCCTATGCAGTAATGCCATATGAAATGACAGTGGACAAACTCCACACAGACATCCATTAATGCTGACGTACTTAACATCCTGCCTAGCATAAGTATTAGATAAAAACTTCTTCCAGAAGGAATCAACTTGCTCTGTCCATTTTAAATTGCAATTAAAGCTTACACCTAAAACACAGTATTCTTAGAGATTCCAACTCTATTGAAATGAATATAGAAATTTTCAGAAAATATTCAACTAAAACAGTATTTGTTGTATTTACTATTAGTCATGCCCTAACATATAAGCATCTGCAACAATTTTTTTACTACTTGAACCACCACGAAGGCCTAAACACCCATTGGGTACCGTGCGGCAATAGGGAGATACAGGGAAAAGGGGGGACGCCACACGCACTCTAGCGAAGGAACACGTGTGCATGCAATATGCATACATTGTGGCCCCGCTTTAGAGATCCGCCGGTACTACCTCCGCGTTCGACAGTCAACATGTTATACGAATGCTGGGGACGTCGCTCTTTTAGTATCGCGTCCCGTTAGTCTATCAAGTAAATGGAATTCAGACAGTGTAAATGATACGGACTCGTATCGCGTTAACGCGTTGTCCGAGTGTTGAACACGCTGTAAAAGTCGCCATTCGTAGTAGCTGTAAATGGCTTGACGTCACGTCACTCCTTTTGTCAGGTACTCTATTTCTATAGAGTCACACATGGTGCGTTTTGGCTCCAAATGAAACGGTGCAGCTAATTTTGAAGTGATTCAATATTCGGTCAGTCACTATATTGCATTAAACAATCAGGGTTTCTATGCTCATGAATATTTGTTAGATATGGTTGCGTCAAATTTGAGACGGAAACGTAATTATACTAACATCATATAACGTTTTACTAACCACTAGTTTGTGCTGGCCACCTATTACTAAAAAATATAAGCCTATCTATTTATATTCAGATCAGATGCAGACATCTCGGAAATTTGAGATGCTGCATGTTCCTTAATGGAAAATGATTTCTATCTATAGCTGGTATCCAGTATCTATTAATAAATTAACAAATGGCAAATTTATTCATATGTACTTAGTTCTGTCATGACGTCATGAGAAAAATTATTTGTTATTATAATAGGTTATTTTTAAATTGCAATATGACAACTAGTCCGACGCAACAACTGACAACGTCGCACACGTAGTTATTGTATAAATGCGTAAACGCTTCATTCATAATTCGAATTTTCTTAATTTCTATCCAGTGATTCTATGCGTCTTTGTGAAATTAACCTTCCTATACTCGCGCGTTGGTCTCTGAAACCGACGAAACACTTTCAGGCATTATTATTTTCCTGGAAACGCTAGCGAGGCGAGATTTCTGTTAGCTGCCTGATTTATTGCTGACTTCGCTTTAGTGTACACCGCGCGTTTGTACGAGACGTTTTTTAAATTAAATGTTATTTATATAGGTTTTGATGTATGAAAATATAAAACACGGTTCCAAACATTCGGTCTGACACCGCGCGCGGGTATAGGTGTTACAAAAATTTGCGCGGGTATAGGAAGGTTAATAATGGTGAGGCACTTCTATATACAGTATATTCACTGAATCAAATCAGTTACGTCACAAAGTCACAAAATGACAGTGACGCACCTGGTTGCCACATGACTTAAAACTACTAGATCCTAGGAAATAAACCACAAATAAACAACAGCCGTTGACGTAAATACCTGACAAGCGTTGCGACAATGTCACAATACAGAAAACTGTTACCAACATGAATGTACCCGAGAAATTCAAACAATATGTACCAATTTAGGATCTATTTTGCATTAAGGTTGGCATTCAAATTTACTTAATAAGACGTAACTGCTTTGATTCAGTGAAAGGACTATATGTAAAATTATACCCTACTTCACGAGTATCTATCACGGTATAATGACAGCTGATTATCTAGTAATATCTTCAAATTACCCATATCGGCACAGGACACATAATTCTGACGAATTCATCAACGTCAGGTAGAGTCAAGGCCGTATTTTGTTTTGTTTTTTGTAAGCTACAGATTCATTTTCTACTTGCTAACAGCTCTTTTATTTAGAAAAGTTCATTTGCATACAACAAAACAAAATGCTATAATATAGATTTACACACGATTCATTATTGCCAACGTCGCAGACTAACACTAAAATGTCACTTGCTGATTAGCTGTTCACCTCAGTAGACGTCAAAGCGTGATGGATACTCGTGAAATAGGGTCGTTTCATGGGTGACTGTAGGTTATGTTTACGTTTTATACCCTATTTCACGAGGTGAACAGCTGATCAGCAAGTGATGTTTTTGTATTAGTCTGCAACGTAGGCAATAATGAATCGGGTGTAAATCTAGTAACACTCTTGTTTGTAGTGTTTTACTTTTTGTATGCAAAATTTGTGAGCTTTAGTAAATAAAATAGCTTCTATCAAGTACAAAAGAAATTGTAGCGTACATAAAACAAAACAAAATATGACTTTGCCTACCTGTCATTGACGCATCCGTCTGAATTATGTCTTTTGCCGATATGGGGAATTGTGAAATATTACTAAATAATCAGCTGCCATACTATCGTAGTGGGTGCTCGTGAAAAATACTACATCTTCGGTTTCCAGTGGCCTTGCTTGTTCTTCCCTAACCTTAAGTTGTATGTTTTCATACTTCTCGATTCCGATTTTTGCACAATGTTCACTTTATATGTGTAATTTTATAATTTTTCATTTATGGGCAGCACACTATGCCCCGATTTAGTTGTATCCAAGTCCGAAATAGGTGTTGGAGCTGGTATATTCGTGCCGAAGCTAAAGATTAAAAAATCTGTTAGCCTAGGAACCTGGGCATCGATCTTCCAGGCAGAGCTATATGCTATAGCACTTGACTCCACCTATTCGACATCGAAATTACTGTGAAATTGCAAAGAAGCTCTCGGTGGCATAGGGGAGGGAAATGAAGTCCGTCTCATATGGATACCAGGACAAATAGGTCTAGTGGGAAACGAGACAGCTGACACTCTGGCAAAGAGTGGGGCTAGCACACCCTTCATAGAACCTGAGCCAGCGATTGGGATCGCATACAATACGGCTAAGCATATAATCTCTGCAGAGTTGGACATAAACTATACCAATCTTCACAAAGAAGGTAACAGACTGTTTGCTACGGCTGAACAGGAATAAATAGCATTAAAGCTCTAGTAGGTCTGTATACTGGTCATTGCAAATTACGTCACAACATGAGCAGGCTGGGCATGGCCAAAGACACTGAGTGTAGACTGTGCATGGAGGGAGATGAAACGGTCAGGCATGTATTGTGCAGATGATGCCCTGCAATTGCCAGAATCAGGTACAACATACTTGAAGACGTAGTACTCCAAGCAGAAGGCCTGAAGGATATCTCTCAAACAACTTAATCGACTTCCTCAGGAGGTCGGAGCTACTGGGGGAAATATAAATAGGTGTGAGCCACAATAGACCAAAGAGTCGCAGTGGAGGATCGTTAATAATGCACCAGTGGCGTTTTACACTTGTTTTTGTAATCTAACATCACTGTGTTACTTTCTGACACATCATGGCGACAGAGGCATACTAACTATAAGTTATAGCTATAGGAGCTGAGCATTTCGATTTTTTGGTATTCTTTGACATCACTTAGGTTTACAGCAGAATTCTCACGATTTATGCGTATACAGGGTGTAAAGTTAGTAGTGGATCAACGGAAGTCAGGTGATAGAGGTCCTCAAAATCTATCGAATGAACCCATATATGTGTGGTCCAGAATTTTATAGTTCAGGAGACATTTGCAATTTTGTGAAATTTTGAAGAAAAAAAAAACGGGGTAATGAACTTTCAATTGCAATTACAACTAAGCCATTAGGTTTAGGGCTGTGATTTTTTTTGAGATGAGCTAAATTGTTAGTTTTAACAATGGTTGTCACTTTTTAACAGAGCTAATTAGAAATCAACGCAAAAATCTTAAATTAATTTTTTTGTGAAAAATCTCTTCGATCTCTCAACTTTGGAGGGCGGTAAAAAATTGAGGTTGTATTTCATTATTTATTTTATTTTAAAAACTATTTCAATCTATGTAGAATAAACCCTGGAAATTTCAGCTTGCTACGACGCGTGTATCATGTTACATTCGTTGTTGTGGTGCGATAAACGTAAGAAACGCAATAGAATCATTACCACCTACAAGAACAGAACATACAGGTATTGTGTTTAACCGCTCTTTATGGCGATTTACCGACAAATGTGGAAGATAATTTATTTTATGTAACTTTTAAAGAACATGTTCGAAATGGCCTCCATTATTTTCTATACACAAGCGGCACCTTCTAGCAA